GACCCACTCAGTTTATTTACATCACAGGTGGCGATATGAAGTGACATTACACTGAGAGATTTAAAGAGATGTAGATCACTAGTGTAAATAATTGTAAGTTCTGTTTATGCTTATGTTTCTGTATTAACGATGGCATCCCAAACGTTTTAAGATGAATAAAAATACGTTTCTTCGAAAATGTTTTAATAACGTATTTATCGTGTTTTTCTGGGAACAAATTCCGCAACCTTTTTATAAAATGAAGTACTCTGATTTTCATAAAGCATAAACAAAATCGGTCTTTTCTGGCCGTGATTTTGGGGATGTCACACCACAGATATCACACCATTCATGATGAGCTCACGAATCATGCTATGTCTAACACCTAAATTTCTATATTTCCCATTGTACACTTGACTATAAGCCTTAGCCAAGGTAGCATCACTATCACATTTGATAGAAATGGTAGATATAGGTTTAGGCCATAATGGAATTTTATAAATCAAATTCCTTAGCCATTCAGCTTCTTTACCAACAGCAGACAATGCAACAAACTCATACTCCATGGTTGAGTTAGTAATACAATTCTGTTTCTTAGATGCCCAATAAATGGCACCTCCTCCAAGAAGAAACCCCCAACCACTTGTAGAGGAGTGATCCTTTAAGTTGTTAATCCAGCTGGCATCTGAATAACCTTCCAAAACAGAAGGATATCCACTATAAGTTAAACCATAATTTATGGTCCCTTTCAAGTACTTGAATACTCTACTCATAGCTTGCTAATGATGTGAACTAGGATTACTAGTATATCTACTAAGCCTTCCCACAACATATGCTATATCAATCCTAGTACTAATCATGGCATACATTAGACAACCAATAGCCCTTGAGTATTCAAGTTGAGACACTAGAGATCCTTTATTAGGTAGAAGCTTAAGACTAGGATCTATAGGAGTGCTAACAGGAGAACAATTCTCAAAGTTAAACTTTTTCAAGATCTTCTCAATATAATGAGACTGAGAAATTGAAATCCCATTGTTTCCTTTTCTAATTCTTATACCAAGAATTACCTCAGCCTCCCCCATATCTTTCATATCAAAACTAGATGATAAGAATTTATTGGTTTTATCAACTTCTTTTAAATCAGTACCAAAAATCAACATATCATCTACATATAAGCAAATCATGACTCCTTTACCAGAAGTATCAAATTTGCTATATACACACTTGTCAGCTTGGTTTAATGCAAAACCATTGGACAAGACAACATCATCAAACTTTTGATGCCATTTGTTTTGGTGCTTGTTTCAAACCATATAATGATTTCTTCAACTTGCACACTCTGTGTTCATTTCCAGGCATCGCAAACCCTTCAGGTTGTTTCGTGTATATTTCCTCATCCAAGTCACCATTCAAGAATGCAGTTTTCACATCCATTTGGTGAATCACAAGATTATGTATAGTTGCAAGAGCTAATAATAATATAATAGTAGAAATTCTTGCAACAGGAGTATAAGTATCAAAGAAATCAATGCCTTCCTTTTGTCTAAAGCCTTGGATAACCAATCTGGCTTTATACTTATCAATTGTGCCATCCACCTTCATTTTTCTTTTGAGGATCCATTTACATCCTAATGCCTTGCAACCAGGAGGTAAATCAGCCAATACCCAAGTATTGTTATGCATTATAGAATCAATCTCATCATGAATTGCCTCTTTCCATAAATGAATATCCCTAGAAGCCATAGTTTCACTGAAAGTCTTTGGATCCTCTTCAATATTAAAACAATATTGATGCTGAGAAATAGTCTCATTCCTTGTTCCTTCAACTAAATATAGTTGAAAATCAGATCCGAAAGACTTAACTTTTCTAGCTCTGGTGCTTTTCCTAGGTTCAGATACATAACTTGCACCACCAGAAACATCTTCAGCTTGAGTAGTACTCGTGCTGGAAGATTGATGAATCATGTCCCTTGGTCTAGGTATAGATGTAAATATTTCTTCATCAAAGATAGCATCTCTTAACTCCATCACTGTGTTTACAGACACAAAGTCATTAGATTCTAAAACATAGAATCTATATGCTTTGGAATGCTCAGCATATCCAATAAAGATACAATCTATACCTCTCTCACCTAATGTTTTCCTTTTGGGTTCAATGAGCCTTACAACTGCTCTACAACCCCAAACTATGAGATAACTCAGATTTGGTACCTTTTTATACCAAAGTTCATAAGGAGTATTCTTACTCCTTTTATTTGGAGTTCTATTCAAGATGTAACATGCAGTTAACATTGTATCACCCCAAAACCCCTCACTTAAACTAGAATATGACAACATGGAATTAACCATTTCTTTCAAAGTCCTATTCTTCCTTTCAGCTACACCATTTTTTTGTGGTGTATATGGAGCTGTCGTTTGATGTATTATTCCAGTTGATTCAAAATAAACTGGATCATAATACTCACCACCTCTATCAGTACGCAATACTTTTATTAATTCATTTTTATGAAGCTCAACTTGTTGTTTATAAATTTTAAATTTATCAAGTGCTTCATCATTAAAATGTAGTAAATAGATATAACAATAGCTAGATGCATCATCAATAAAAGTAATAACATACTTCTTGTTTCCAAGGGAAGGTGTTGCATGGAAATCACATAAATCACTATGTATAAGATCCAACACCTTGCTTTCCCTAACAACATCTTTGAAAGATTGTCTAGTAATTTTAGTTAGCATGCATGTTTTACATTTTTCATTATTTTGCATATCAAAAGCAGGAATTAAACTCATTTTAGACATGTCTTTTGATCTCTTGTAATGAATGTGTCCTAATCTAGCATGTCATAATTCAGATTTATGAAAATTATTGCTAGTACTACTAGAAGCCATGCAAACAGAATTATCAGTAAAATGATAATTAATATTAAGCCTAATCATTCCATTACACATATAGCCAAATCCCATAAAAAGAACCATGTCTTGACAATATATACTTGTCATTTTCTAATACTTGTTTGTCACTTTCTAATACTTGTTTGTAACCATAGTTATTTAAAGGATGACCATTTGCATTAAATACGTTTGGTTTCCTCGCGCCGGATGCGATGGAACTTCTCAATAAAGTACAACGGATCATACATAGCAATATTATATCCTTTAATCTATGGATGCAGTTTTCAAAAGAATTGATTTTACCATACAAAAAGGTTTAGCGATGTAGCTTTTTGCCCATTTTTACCCCACTCGTTGTACGATGATAACTAAGTTTTATTATATTAATATATTACGTTGTTGTGCATTTATTTATAATGACCAATCACATTGATATCCGATATCAACAAAACTTGTGATATGTTTTACATATAGTTCGAAATGACAAAAGTATATTGCCTATAATGAAAAAAAAACATATTTCTATTTTACATAGAAACTATACTACATAAAATAAAAACCGGTCTAAAGTACGTTGCTATTGTGTGCATTTAACACAAAATTTAATACATCTCCATAACACAGTTCTCCTAACCATCCGAGTAAAATAAAAAACCTTGTCCATAAACCGACAATTTGGATCTTTTTTTTTTAAACCAAAAATTTAGGCTCATTTGGGTTTATTTGTCATTAAATTGCCTCGTTTAGGTATATCATTTAACAATTATTAGTTTATATTGAGGGAGTTATAGTCCCAGTTACTAAAAACTACATTTAATTACAGAAAAGAACACATAGTTTCTAGTAATAATTGAAAATGAAACAACATGAAGCAGGGTACCACAAAACTCTAAATCCAAAAGGCATCCACATGAGAGATTAATAAAATCTAGTTAGTGCATAAGATGGATAGGTAAGTACTACTTATAGTTTAAGTATTTTAAAAGGAGGCCTTATAAAATTAATTAGTTTGACAGATGAAAAACCTTGTGAAAATTTGACACTTTCTTCATAATCTCCACCGAGTTTGAATTGTAACTGGCTTTGTTTTGCCAAATGAATACCATTTCCTCCAATGCATTTCCATGCTCCAGGAAGAAACAAGTTACTTCTAGTAGCCACTTAAATGAAAAGAATTCTGGAAATTCAACATTTCTCAGTTGACCAACCAAGTTTCTTATTGTTGCATCTTTAGCTAGATTCCAGTATTCCGGGTCAAACATATCCTAAGATCATCAAACAAAAGCATTACCTTTTTATGTTAAGGTGCAGAAATCAGAATAAATGTTTTTTTGTAATTCTTGAAATATTTACTTATTGGTTCAAGTTGTTAAAGCTTGAAGAGAATAATGTAAAAGACTCGAATTCAAAAAAAAAAAAAAAAAAAAAAATCACCAAAAAAGGGTTGTGTATAGGAGACATGAAAATTGAAAAATAATCTAAAGAGTATTTGTGATGTTTTACAATTGTGTTTTGTGTTATATGCGTATGTAAAGGTGGCAAAATGAATGGACGAGGCATGTGGTTAAAACTTATAAGTTAAAGCTGATATATATATATATATATATATATATATATATATATATATATATATATATATATATATATATATATATATATATATATATATATATATATATATATTACAATTACATTAAAAGGTAAAAAGCACTAAAAAAATTAAGTGTTATAGTTTGTGATTAATGTTCTAAGCTTAATACAACCTTCTTTTCACATCTTCACTTACACTTACATAAAGTGGTTAAGTAGGGTCAAGCATTAGAATTGATACCAGATGGGACTTCCAGATTTTGTGAGCGCTGTCCTAATGTTTAAATAAACAGTTTAAGACTTTTCGTGAATTTCATTTGGATTTGAGAATTTTTACATCAGGCAAGCATTACACAACCGATAAGGTTACTGGTTTCAAGTCATGTTGTATTTTTTCACAAACTATAAAGGAAAAAATAGTTGCATAGAGAGACTTTTCCATAGAGCTGATGAGTGTTGGTTGATGAACGCATGTCTCTCTTTTGTAGGCTAAGTCATATTTGAAAATGGGATAAATAATAATAGAATCCCTATCATAACACATGAGACATTGTAGACAATGATAATCCTGTCGGATCGACATCTTCAGCATGAATCACAACTTTCTTCAAGGAATTTAGACTTTTAAGGAGAAATCTATTAGCTATACGACCTACAAGCTCCAAAAACACCAGTTTTGGGCAAGAAATCCAAACGCCAAAACACATGTCCTCAACTTTGTCACCAAACCACTTTTCAAATTGTATCATTTCCCGGTTTATAATTCTCAACTTCTTGAGCTTAGGATATGAAATACAAAGAACATCAAGACTCTGTATCAAATAGTATATCAAACTCAATTCCTCAAGCAATGGGAGGCTTTTAAAAATAATCTTCTACTACAACATCGTCACATGCTAACTTTTATTCCCATTCATTTTTACACATCTTAATTTCCTAAAATAACAAAGGATATGTACAACATATAGTTCAAAATGACCATAATTATATCGCCAATAATTAATGAAAAAACATATTTCTATTTTACATAGAAACTAAACTACATATAATAAAAAACTGATATAAAGTACGTTGCTATTGTGTACATTTAACCCAAGATTTAATACATCTCCATAACACAATTGTCCTAACAATTCAAGTAAAAAAACAAACATTTTCCATAAACTGTACAGTTTGGATTTTTTTTTTTAACCAAAAGTTTAGGTTCATTTGGGTATATTGTTTGACAGTTATTAGTTTAAATTGAGAAAGTTATAGTCTTAGTTACTAAAAACTACATTTAATTACAGAAAATAACACATATATTTTCTAATAATAATTGAAAATGAAACAACATGAAGTGGGTACCACAAATCTCCAAATCCAAAAGGCATCCACATGAGACAAAATGAAATCTAGTTATTGCTTATAGTTTAACATGTTTAACCAGGAAGACTTGGGAGAGTTGATCTGTTTGACAGTTGAGGAAGCCTTGTGAAAATTTGACACTTTTTTCATAGCCTCCATCGACTTCTCATGTATGTACATGTCTTTGTTATCCCAAATGAAAACCATTTCCTCCGGTGCATTCCCATGCTCAAGTAAGCATCACGCTACATTTAGCTCCCACTCTAGTCCATCTTCAACAAACTCCACCTTTTTCAGCCGACGAGCCAAGATTTTCATTATTGCAACTTTTTCTAGATTCTAGTTTTCCCGCTTAAATATTTGCTAGAAAGATCATCAAAAAAATCATAAGTTGTTAAAGCTTACAATATAAAAGTCTCAAGGTAAAAAAAAATCACTAAAGAAAATACCATCTCATTTGTCAATGCAACTGGGGCATAGTCATCAATTGTTAGCTCCAAAGTCTTGAGATTAGGTAGAGATATCCAGATATCTACTTGTGACAAGCACTACACCATAAAGACAGCAAGTAAGGGTTTGGAGGTTATTACTCATGGCAATAAATAAACATGTAGGTGATCAAATGATAAAGATTTGACGAAAACCTATATATAGGCATGTAGGTGCTAAACTTTTTGCCATTTTCACTTCATTAAGAATTTTAACATTTGGCAAGCATTACACAATCGATAAGGTTGGATAAAGAGACTTTTTCATAGAAGTAATTGAGGTGTGTTAGTATGGATCTTTGTCTTTTTTTTTTATTGTAGGCCAATATGTAATTAAATCACTAAAGACAAAGATTTCAACAGAAAAAAGGAAACATTTTAACCGAAATGAAAAGTTAAGCATAAGTAGAGTAAAAATCTACTCGTAGAACGATGTAAAGGTTGAGCGGCAAAGATTCCACATGAGAAATTCTAGACAACGATAATCCTTCAGGTTTTATACTTTCGGCATGAATCATAGCTTTCTTCAAGCAATCTAGACTTTCAAAGAAAAAAAAATCAAAGCTATACGACCTATAAGCTCCAAAAACACCAGTTTGGGGCAATAAATCCGAACCTTAGGACACATTGACTCAAGTTCTTCTTCTTCTCCATCCCATTGCTCAAATTGTATCATTTTCTGGTTAACAATTCTCAGGTTCTTGAGGTTCGGGCATGAAATACTAACAACATCATGTTCATCTATCAAGCAGTGTATCTAACTCAATTCCTCAAGCAACGGGAGACTTTTAAAAAAAGTTCTAACTTTTCATCCTCGCATGCAAACTCAAGAGTGTTTAACTCAAGAACCCTGAGTGTCAGAAACCCTATCAACTTAGGCAAACGTAAACCACATCCGAACAAAAACAACCTTAATACCTCCAAGGAACTGCAACTCACTAGAGAAAGGGAAGCTTGATCTCCTCAAAGTCCCACCTATTTATCCAATGATCAAGATGGATGGTATGAGCATCCTTATACTGCTCCCTAGGCCGAAATATCAAGTCAATTACTTTGACGTTTCTCCTAACTACAACTTCAATACACTGCCTTACTGTTGACATATTGTAGTCATTCTCACAACATAAACGAAAACTATCCAGATCCAGAGAACTCTTTAATAAAACTGAATACACAAACTCTTTGAATTTACTTTTTTTGAATTTCTTCTGGGATGTAAGTCCTCGGAGATAATCTATGTCTATAGAGGGAACTGAAGTCCATAAGTATCTCCATCGTGTCGACAAGATGCTGGTTCGAATTACTTCTTCAGTACTTGGAAGACCCGAAAGGATCAAGTTAAGAATATGATTTGGCAGTTTACTGAACATATCAACCCCATCATTGGGTTCTGATGCTTTTGCTTGCTTGGATTTCTTCATGCCTTTGGTACTGTATGTCAAAAGTTATTAACAACAGTAATCAAAGGACATTTTATCAAGCACTTTGTGAACAACAAGAAGGTACAACTTCTACTCAAAGTGAAAGGGCATAAGTTTAAACATACCAGTTATAGTAGAGCATATAATAAACCCTAGATAATCACTAATGAAACGAAAGAAATTCAAATAATGTAGCTGAAATTAAAGATATTTAAGCGATATACCAGAATTCACATTTGTTTCCCAACGGATTGATCGATGTATCTGCGTCGTAATCGTCCCTCACTCCTTTCTACTATCCTTCTCCTAGCAATCGTCTAATCGACCGTGATTGTCTCGCTGATTCCAAATCGATGAAATTATCTTTTTATGGGCCTCCAAAATAGGGAGTTGGCGCTTGTCCGGGTTTAACAGGCCCTGGGCTGGGCCTGGTAGTAAAAAGAAGAAAATAAAAATATAAAATGATAGAAGATAGATAATCAATAATCCATGGTGAACTCAAAGAACATTATAACAAATTTCTTTTTGCGCAAATAATATTATTTGATATATCATTGTCAACAACCGATAATACTTAATTTGTTTTTTTAAGTTGTTTATTTTTTAATTATATTCAGTTGGATACTTTTTTTTAATCAAACCATTAAATAAGATTTTATTCCGGTAAAGTTCTTGTATCCATGGGGTGTTTGGTTTAGCTTTTGAGATGCCAAAAGTTCTTTTAAGAAAAAATCAAAGTTAAAAAATGCTTGGCAAAAGACTTTTTAAAAACTATTTTTGGATTTTGAATAGAAGGAAAATCAACTTTTTGGAAAATTCAGGAAAACATTGTAACTTTTTCAAAAAGAACTTTTGACCTCTAAAAAGCTAAGCTAAATATGTTGGAGAATTTGTCCATTTACCGGTTTTTAATTAACATAACATACCCATAAAAAACCTTTTTTTTAATGCAATTTCACTTCAAAAAAAAGCAAGTATAATTGAAACCGATTTTTTTTTTTTTTTTTTTTTTAATGTTCTTAAAAAACCCGATCCAGTTTAAATCCATATACGTACATTTTGTAATGGATCCACTTGGTGGTTATTTAAAAAGAAAAATATTTTCACATTATTTTCTTTAGTATTAAGTTGATATATGGTTAGTTTAGTTAATTTTCGTAAAAATAAAATTTGGAAAGGATACGTATTCTTCCCCAAAAAATATAGGATTTTATAAACAAAGGTGCTTTTTACGAGCAATTGGAAATAAAAACTATACTAAACCCTACCCTCTATCGTGAGAAATCGAGCGAACGAAGGATGAGCGAAGGTTTTGAGTTTCGATCAAGATTTTTCTCCATTTAAGGTAAACTCGAGAATCAAAATTCGAATTAAGTACATTTATCATTATATTTTTGTGTTTAGTGTTGTTTTGTCGAGTCTCGTACCCTAATTCGACCAAAAACCCGAAGTTATCAATTGGTTTATGCTTTGAATTTTAGATTTTTAGGGATTATGTTACCTAGTTTCTGTTTAAATAAATTACAATATTGAAAAGAACGGCTGAAATCAATGCTAAAAGTTTTGGTTATGGCAGAAAAAGTACAGCTCTGCACTTTCGGGTAAAAGAGGCAAGGAAAACGGATTTGGTAGTTCTAATAGGATATCAGCTAGTGCCTTAATTAATCTGGGCTTAATCTAGGAATGTAGGCAGAAAACAAAATCAATGATGCTACCCAATGATTCACCACCCACCTGTCAATCTTACCATTCTTCTTCAGCTTGGTCTTGAAGACCATTTAACATCTATGGCTTTTGTTCCATGGGGCTGCATACCTCCCATATGTTGTCTTTTTTCGATGCTTTAGTTATCATCACATCTCCAACATTCTTCTTTGGTTGCATCATCATAGTTAGAGATGTGGTGATATAGTCAACATGGCATAGTTCTCTGATATTTCTTCTTCATCTCCTCCCCACTAAGATACACATCCATCTATCCTGCAATTATTCTGGTTATTCTTTCTTGATTTTCAATTGTGGTTCACACTCTTTTTTCCTAGTTATCATCTTCTACTAGCCTTTTTCCTTTTGATTGTTCACTTGAATTATTCTAACTTGAGTGTATATATAATTATATCGTCCTCTTTGCTCACTTAAGTGGTAGAATCATCCCATTCAAGTTCATCTTGTCTTGTAGTGTGATCACAATCCCAAATCCAGCTTGCTTCCTCTTCAAACTACTCAGACACTTTTGCATGAGTAGTTAGAAGCTCTGGATTTGCCAAGTGCTAATAAGATAATTCTTTAGCTTTGGTACTGAGTAGTTAGAAGCTGTACCATCTTGTTAACTACCATATTAACATATCTATACAAAAAGATTATCTATATTTTTAATAATTCCTAACATGAAAAACCATAGAGATTGATATCAATTTTGTTGCGAAAACATATGCCATTTCACTTTATGTAGAAGCTGTATCATGAGATATGAATATATGATTCAAGGATGTGTTTGCTTCTCTATATAATTTGTGTTCATGTCATTGTCAATTTGTCACCACAGTAACATAACAAAGGCATGGAGAATTCAAAGCAATCAAGAACATCAGAAGACAAAGATGGGGTCGATATGTTTAGTAAATTACCGGATCCTATTCTTCACTTAATTCTATCACATCTTCAAGGTACAGAAGAAGTAATTCGAACCAGCATTTTGTCAAGAAGATGGAGGAATTTGTGGACTTCACTTCCCTCTATAGACATAGATTATTCCCGACGATTGAATCCCCATCAAGAATTCAAAAAGAACAAATTCGAAGAGTTTGTGTCTCGGGTTTTGGGAAACAACTCTCTCGATTTGGATAGTTTCCGTTTATCTTGTGCGAATTACTACAATATGTCGACAGTGAAGCAGTGGATTGATGCTGCTGTTAAAAGAAATGTCAAAGTACTTGACTTGATGTTTTGTATTGGGGATGAGTATGATGAAATCGAGTTGCCTAATTCTCTCATGACTTGTGATTCTTTGGAGGTGTTAAGGTTGTATTTGTTTGGACGTTGTCTACATTTGCCTTATAGATGTAAAGGGTTTTCGCGACTTAGGGTTCTTGAGTTGAACGATATGATGTTATTCGATGGAGGTTTAGTAACAGATTTGCTTAAAAAGTGCCCATTGCTTGAGGATCTGAAGCTCAAGAAGCTCGTGTTTGGTGAAAAGATGGAAATGGTGGATGGAGATTTCCATCGTAGCATTCAAATTTCTTGCCCAAAACTGGTGTTTTTGGAGTTAACAAGTTATATAGGTAACTTTAATTTTACCTCGAAAGGTTTAGACTCCTTGAAGAAAGCTGTGATTAACCTGAATGGATCGCTACCTGAATTGATGAGGCGCAACATATGTGAGTTGTTTGCTGGAATTTCTCATGTGGAATCTTTATCGCTCAACCCTTTCACCATCCTTAAGGTAGATGATGCTGATTCTCTTTATAAAATGCACAGTTTTTTTTTTTTTTTTTTTTTTTTTTTTTTTTTTTTTTTTTTTTTGGTTAAAACTTCAAACTCTTATTTTTTGTCATTATTGTAGTGCATTGATGCTTCATCTTTACCTAATCTCAAGACTTTGGAGCTAAGGACAACAATGGATGACTTCCCCATGGATGACCTCATCCAAACTCTTCAACAATATCCGCGTCTGGAGGCTCTACATTTGATCATTCAAGACGTATTCTCATATCAAAGGGTATTTTTTTATGCATGCTAGCTCACTTTCCTTCAAACTTTCATAGGCCTAATAGCGGGAAATTAACCTAAATAAAATAGAAAAATACCAATAGTGAAATGGGTCAAACTTATGTTTTTGTTTGACGATGTACTGTAGAGGAATTCGTGGCAATCTGCCCACCTGAAGTTGGATGAAGTTGAGGCAAGAAGAATCTTGACTCGCAATCTGAGAAGAGTTGAGTTTCTTGAATTCAATGGAGAAAATCCGAGTCTGTTGATGGCACGTTCGTTACTCATGTATGGAGATGCATTGGAGGAAATGGTTTTCATTTGGGGTGACAAAGACAAGTACCCTCGCAAGTCAATGGAGACTTTGAAGAAAATGTCAAAATATCGCAAGGCTTCTTCAACTGTCAAGCTCATAACGCTTCTAAGAGAATGATGTTACAAGTTTTTTTCTAGACTATGAGAAGTACATGTCTTGGGGTCACTAGATTTCTTCATCTCAGTTTAATCCTTTATCCTTTTAAATTCTTGCAACACCTATGCTAGAAAATATTTGCTTAGTTCCTGAATTCTGTTCATATTGTATAAAAACTAGCGGTCATGTTTTGGTTTGGTATTGTCCTAAAAACAAAACTAAATCATAATAATTTGTCTTGGTAACTCTTATCTTTTGCGCATGTTTGATTTTGGGAAGGAAAAAAATCATTCCATTGTTATTTAAAAAAATGATGTGATGACATTTGACAATTGTGCTTGGAGATATTAAATTTTGAGTTAAATGCACAACATAGCAATATACTTTACGTTAGTCTTTATGTAAGGTATAATATATATGAAAATGAATTTACCTAAAATTAGGGGTGGTAATCCTAACATCAACCTGCCAAGCCAAATAAATAGTAGGTTGGGTTGAGATTTAACTCATTTAATTAAATAAGTCAATCCATCTAACATGTTTAATTAAATGGGTTAGATTAGAGTTGAAATTCCTAACCAGTTAATAACTCACTAACCCGTTTAAAATTTTTAAATATTTTTTAATTTATATTTATTTAGTATTATTATTTAGTTGATCATTATATTTTGATTGGTTTTTATTTATCACAAATCATGGGTTAGTAGGAATTCGAGTTAGTAAAAGTGATAACCGAATTGCGTAGAATTTAAAAGTTAAACATTTATCATGTTTTATTGTTGTAAACACTTATATGTGTTTGTGTTATGGGCTTGTAAAGTTATTGTTGTATAATTTTCAAACTAATTATTATAACTTTTAAATTGTATGTAATTTTATTTGATAGATCATTTGATTTTTAAGGGATTTTTTCCCATGAAAATTTAAACGGGTCAACCTAGGTTTAACTTGTTTAGTAAATAGGTTGAGTTGGAAAAACAATAAACAGGTCAACCCGATTTCAAACCATTTACTAAAAATGTTGGATTGGGTTGGAAATTTTCAACTCAGTTGGGTTGGGTAGAGATTTTAAACCTATTTAATTAAATGGGTCAACCCATTTATGACTCAACCCAACTCGTTGTCACCTGTACCTAAAATAGGAACCAACTTTGTAACACCCTGTTTATTAAATAAATAAATAGATAAAATTAATATGCATAGTAGCTCTAAAATCCATAATTTTAGTGATGTGTTGGTTTTTAGGAGCCAAATGTTATAATTTGGATTATTCGGGGGTTAAGGTGTAATTTCGAGATTTATTTGGTAATGATTTTTAGAAGATAATGGGTGTTTGGTAACTATGGGATTGAATATGAAAGGATTTATGGGAGCAGGGCAAAAGAGTAAATTTTGGACCTAATTTGAAAAGGTTTTGTAGGGGGGGGGGGTGGTGTTTGGTGAAATGTTGGACTTAATTTGAAGGAATTTAGGATGGCTGGGGTAAAAAGGGTAAATTGTGGACTCACTTTGAAAGAAAAGGGGTAGGGAGGGACTAAAGATGGCATTATGGGAATAAGTTTATATGGGGCTCGGGGTATATAAACCCGTCGCCCCTGTAAACCCTAACCCTAGGAGTCGTATATTAGTCGTCACCCCCACCCTTATGCCTCCCCACTGGCGTCGCCACCTTCATTCTCTCGACTTCCGGCCCCACACCACCACCTCCGTTGAGGTCGTCAACCACCGCTTTTGAAGCCGAAGACCATTGAGAAGTCGTCATCTCCGTTTCTACGATCTCCGGTGCTGCAACCACCATTGTGGAGGTCACAAACCAACCACCATGACCATCCTACCTTCTGGCGAGACCAAGTAGCCACCGTGAGCATCCGCTGCCACCTTTTCTTCTCTTTTTACTGTTAACCGCCGCCACCTTTCTTCTACTACATCATCGCCGACCGTCTTGTGGTTGCAGAGCGGGTTGCGTTACATATTATCACTAAGTAATGGGTTTTCTGTCGGGTGGAAGTTGTGAAGAACCACCATGGCGGCCAGCCATGGTGGTTGCCATCGATGGCACCGCTGTTGCCGCCTTCCCGTGAAGTTGTGGCCACCGTACGCCGCTAGGTGGGTGGCTGGGTCTAAGGCTGTTCACTATTTTGATAAAACCGAATTGTCCAATTGGACAATTTGGATTAGACAATTTGGTTAAGATATTCAAAATTTTGGATTTTGGATTAGTTTTAGTTTATAAAATAATAACCGAATAGTCCAAAAAAACCGAATAACAATTTATTATTTATTTATTTTGAATATATCTATAATAATTTATTAATTTTATAATTTGTTTTTTTCAAAAACTGTTCATTTTCTCTCAAAAGTATTTGATCTATTAAATATTAAATTATAATATACCTTCTTAGTAGTTTATAAATTTTAAATTACAACTAAATAATTTGTTTTTGTTTCTTCTATAAAAATTAGATAATATTATAATTATATGTCATTTTAAAATGTTATACCTTTTGAAAACTGAATTATAAAAACCAGTGTTCTAAAAGGCGCGCCATGGCGTGAGGCGCGGCGTCGCCGTTACGAAAAGTTTCATAACATTGCTGTTAGGCGTGGCGCGTGGCAAGGCGTGATATGGCGTGTCATGGTGCGTTATGGCGTGTTATGGCACGTGTTTTTTTGATTAAGACACGTGTTTTTATACCTTTTCTAATCGGACATACAAGTATTGTGTTTTTTATTAACTTTATGTTATTAGTTGTTGATATAACACTTCTAAAAACTAGGTATATTTGATATAAATTTATATTTATGCGGTAATATAATTATAAATTAATACAAAATCGCCGTTTTACATCACGCCTTGAAAAACGCCATGGCTCGCCATAATTCGTTAAGCTTGAGGCTTGGCCTTGCCACCACGCCACACCTCACGCCTTTTAGAACCTTGATAAAAACCGATCCAACCGAATTTTAATTGGATTGGATCGGATTTGAATTTTGTTTGGACAATTCGGGTCCATATTTTGAAAACCGAAATAAAATTTGATTTACTTAATTGGATCGGATCGAACCGATCTATCCAAACGAACACCCCAAGCTGGGTCCTTTTTCAAGTAACAAAACGTGTGTGTGGGTCTATTTCGGCTATGAGGCCGTGTGTATGTTTGGTTTGGCCGACTGCCGCCTTGTACCATTGTCGACCACTACAAGGGTGGATATGTGTGTGTGTTATTGGGATTTGTGTTGTAAATTATAATCGGTTTCAGAATAATAAAAAGAAAACTCATAACCACCACTGTCAGGTGGTGGCTGCCGCCTTCTGCCGCTACCAACCACCGTGTTGGGTGGCGGTGTGCTCTTGCTTGTGTTTAGATTTCGTTTGGGATGCTTGGACAAAAATGGACTAGAACCATAACCACCATCGTGAGGTGGTGTCCGCCACCACGAGCTGCCGTTGACCACCATTACCCGAGGTAGTAGTGGGTGGTGCCTGACTTATGAAATCCTAGTGGACCCAATGAAACTCTAATTGATCTAAAGACTTAGCTTTTGGGCCTATTGGGTTGTGATTGGTTTAGAAACCCTAATTAGGGTTTACAAAATCCTAAATTTGGATATATGGATTATGGGTTGTTGGGACCTGCATTTTTAGATGACCGGATTGGCATTCTGGATTAAGCCAACCACACTACATGATTGACCCGGCAGATTGGTGGACTTAATAGATTAAGTCCTTAATGGGTTAAGTGGGAAACACTTAACCCTAATCGTCATTTCAGGTGAAAACCCTAATTGTGTTGGGTTTAGAGTTGGGCTATTCTTTGGGCCTAGATGTCTGGACTCTTGATGCGCCAACTATTAACAAGTAAATGGACTAGAATATTTGGATTGTGCTTTAGGATAAGGCCCATTGGACATGCTTGGGCCCAATTAGGAAAATTGGGCCATAGATGGGCCATATGTTGGGCCTTAGTTCATTATTAGACTTTTGGGCCTTTGGACTGGGCCTTGGGCTTGAATCAAGCTAAGTTAGGGGTAAAGTAGTATTTTACCCTAAGCATGGACTTATGGATATGTGTTGGAACCTAATTATTAATTGGGTGTTATTTTGATGTTGACAGATTCGGGAATATGTCATCCAACAACTAGGGTTTTGTCCGCGGGACTTCAACAGTGTGAGGTGCGTTTTCCTCCAGTAGGAACGGGTCGAAAGCACCAATACCGATCCGTTTATCTATGTTAGCGTATACCGGACTTCGATCCGATGCCAGGGTTAGCCCGATGTAGATTATATTTTTTCGGACTTCAGTCCGATGCCGGGGCAAACCCGAGGAATGTTTGTATACTTGATGTCTTCGTGATTCTTGCATGTGTTTGTTTATGTGTTCCGAACTTTGGTCCGATACCGAGGCAAGCTCGAGGAATCTTTAGCTTATATGTTATGTGTTATGTGTTCTGGACTTCTGTCCGATGCCGGGGCAAGCCCGATGAATGTTTAGCTTATATGTTATATGTTATGTGTTCCGGACTTCGGTCCAATGTCGGGGCTACCCCCATGGTCTTTCCTTGCAATTTCAAGGGAGAAATCTTGGTCTTACATACAAGTGTTATTGGCTACCCCCACGGTCTTTCCTTCCAATGTCGAGGTCCAAATATCGGTCTTACATACAAGTGTCATGGGCTACCCCCATGGTCTTTCATACAATTTCCATGGGCTATCCCATGGTCTTTCACGCAAGTATCACAAAGACAATCATCATCCCACAACATAATCCAGTAGCTCGACATTGATGCCTTTGACCCACAAGTATAGTAAAGAGACTCACCTTATAGTTTGAAAGAATTGTTGCACCGATCACTGTTCTAAAAGCTATCTCTACATGTCACCTATACAATAACAAGAACCGAAAACTCAAAATATAAATCAAATCACCCAAAATGCCCTTAGGTCAAACTTGGTCAAAATCAGGTAAAAGTCAACATTCCAAAAATTCAACCTAGTCAACCCAGCTGAGTACACCCATCGTACTTAGCTGTACACCCAACATACGTGGCTAGCTGCCAACTCAACTCATTAAGAGCTTAATCCTTAAGCTCTTAAGCCCATTTTCCAGATCAAAGCCTAAAACGATGTCCTTGACCATAAAGTTTCCAACTTTATGGTCTTGCATGGCCATTAAGTGCTAAATGTCCAAAACCCTATGTTCTTAACCCATTAAGACCATCTAACATATGCATGGGTTACATGCAACACTCAAGATCATATTTTTATGGTTCATAATAGATCCATAATGGATAAGGTTTCCAACTTTATCTATTAGAATGGTCCCAACAAACAAGATCCAGTCTTTAACTCTCAAAGAGACCCAAAAAGTGCATCTTTTCGACTTAATCCATTAAGCACAAGTCTCTAATCTTTTGATCTGAATCAAAATGATGTTTAGATGGATAAAGTTTCCAACTTTATCCATAACAAGGTCACAAACTTTCAAGATATAAACTTTATGCACTTAAAATGACCAAAAGCTCATAACACTCAAAACTAGATAGATCTAACCATATCATCATAAAGATTCAAACTTTATACCTCTAGAAGGAAGATCAAGGTGAAAAAAGTCTAGATCTACAAGCTCCATGCAACCAACACTTATTCCATGAGTTCCTTCTTCTACTAAGTGCACCAAGAACACTCCAAAGCACTTAAAAACATCTTCTTTTTTGCTCAGAAGGCTCAATCTAGGGTTAGGGTTTCAAGAGAGGGTGTTGGAGAGGTGGAGGCTGAGAATGAAGTAGGTTTGGGGAAGTTAAGGAGCTTAAATATAGCTAAAACCATGAAAATAGGGTTTGGGCATTGATTACGTACGTCCTGCATACTCAATTTATGCCCATCTCACTAGGGATGCCCTAGTACGCCTAATGTATATGTTGAGTATGCCCATCATACTAGGGATGCCCTAGTATGCCCTGCGTACTCCTCGTACGCCCTACGTATGCGGCTGACCCAAAAATCGCCTAACTTCAAATGGTTGTAACTTCTTTGTTCCAACTCCGTTTTCGATGTTATTTATATCCATAGAAAGGTATTGAAAAGCTCTATAATATTATCTAAATGTCTTGGAATAAAAACTTCTTGAATAAAAATCCATATTTCATGTAGGAATCGGCCTATGACTTTTTCTTTTCTACCCTTCGGCCCAAAACACAATGCAAGGGTAAAAATCTCTTAACTAACATTACCTCTTTCCACAATGACTAAACTTTGCCTCATTAAGGCCCAAAGAGTTACACAATTGACTTCCGATCCACGGCCCTGAATCACAGAATGATCCTGAACAGGGTGTTACATCATATTTCTGACATAGACATTTTCCGAGCATTAAAAATAGTAGATTCTTTTTAACACCTCAACATGAAAACTTACCTTTTTGTTTGAGGATGTAGAGGAATCCACAACCATTTGCCCACCTGAAGTCGGATGAAGTTGAGTAACGAAGAATATTGCTAGCCATCTGAAAGAGTTAAGTTTCTTGAATTTGATGGAGAAGATTTGATCCTATTGACGACACATTCGTTACTTAATTATGTAAATGCATTGGAGGAAATGGTTTTCAGTTAGGGTAACAAAGACAAGTACCCTTGGAAATCAATGGGGACTATGGAGAAAGTTTCAAAGTTTCACAAGGTTTCTTCATTTGTTAAGCTGATTACACACTTGAAAGAGTAAGATGATTTTCAATTAAGCTTTTTGTTAGATTGTAAGTAGTACATATGTACTCATATTAGATTTCATGGTCTCATTTGATGATTTTTGGATTTGAAGTATCTACTGTTGAGTTCATGTTGCTTCATTTTTAATTATTAGTTTAAAATATATTGTTCGGTTTTCGAACTCTGTCAATATTCTTCTACTATAAAATTAAAGTAATTAAGGACCTGCGTGGTTTGGATTGGCTTTAGCATTAAACTAAACCAATTGAAATTATGTAATTAGGTTTATATAAGAAGGTGTTCGGTTTTAGCTATTTGGTTTTGTGGGTTTAAGCGGTTTTGTTAGTAATTAAACATGTGTCCAATAACTAGAACATCAATTCTTTTAATATTAACTAATAACTACTATTAATTTGTCAAACTCGTCCTATTTTCCTCCATAATTCGAAGAAATATTGTATATAAATATTTTGGCTTTGCGTTGATGGTTGAGTTTTTAGGTTGGTATTGCATAGATTTTTAATTATGTTCTTGGAAAAATGACACAAATGCCCTACAAAGTTTCTAGTGTTGGTCCATTCAGTCCCTAAAGGTTTTTTGTTGCTTTATAAGGGCATAAAGTGGGTGTTGACTGGTTTAAATGGTTCCCTTCACCTATGAAAACCAGTTTCTTATGCTAACTCTACATTTGAAGCACATGTGTTACCCATGCCATTGTCGATGTGGTCAGACTTGTATATGTGGCTACCTAGCTAGAAGACAAAAACCTGGTGAGATTCAAGAAAAAGAGCCCAGTTCTCCACCTCTGCTGCTACCATCCATCTTCCAACAACCCGCTTTCTTGACTTGGGTGAATGTTAGAAAATCGTGATGAACATCAATGAAACAAAATATGAGAAAAAAACTTATTTGTTGTTTTGAATATGAAATCGAACCCTACGAAAAGTTCAAAACCAGATGTCATATGTCTTTTCCTCCAACTCAATAACCCCTTAAACATTTGTATTTTCCTTTCGTTCCATTCTTCTCCTTCTTCCATCCCCTTCCTTTCATTAAAAAAACTCAAGAACAAGGCGTAAAACTTTACCACTTGCCACCATATATGTTATTTTTCATTCTCGTTTTCCATTAAAAACATTGTCTACCTCCGCATTACACATGAACACAACTAGTCTCAATCAAATATAATCTAAAGGAAAACTTATCAGCATTAGAAAACAGAAAACAGGTTAGATGCAACTTCATCACAAATTGTTAGTTACATCATAACCAGATTGGAGAACCAAAAATACATAGCCTAGTAAAAAGTGAAATAAGTAACATCAAGTTGGGTAATGCAAATATCCAAATCCAACAAGCATCCACATGAAACCATGAAATCCGGTTTACCCTGCAACACAAATATGTATTTACTATTTACAGTTTCAATTGATAGCTTGCAACATCCGTTCTTCCTTCCAAAGAATCATATGAGTTTGACTAAGGGTGTAACTAAGCCAAGTGAAGTCAATACAGTGTTGTAAAAAGGGTAAATATGTAACTTTGAATAATCTCATGAGCTCTACTCGACTTTAATTACACTTCTGAGTTTGACAACTGAAGAAGCCTTGTAAAATTTCGAGACTCGATTCATAGTCTTCATTGACCTCTTATGGAACCTGGTTTCATCACCCCAACTGAAAATCATTCCCTCCAATTCATTTCCATGCTCCAATAAAGCTCGTGCTAAATCTAGTTTCTGCTTTTCGTCATCAAATTCAAGAAACTCCACCTTTTTCAAACGACGAGTCAAGATGTTGATTTTTTCGGCTTCTTGTAGATGCCACTTGTTCAATCCATAAACATGCTACATCATCAAACAAAAGCACATGTGAGAAATGGGATAAGTGAAAGTGAGCCACATGCTTCAAGATTGTGATGCATAAAAAATGTTATTTCATTTGAAAATTTATATACCTTTGGAAAGATTAAATGGAGAGACTCTAGATCCGGAAGACATTTGAGAAATGGGATGAGCATATGCAAGGCATCAACTGTTATCTCCAAAGTCTTGAGATTAGGTAGAGATATAGGCTCATCTTCATCTGGCCAATAACACTACACCACAATCACAACAAGTCAAAATTTTAAAGGTTATTATTCATGTATGGCAATAATCAGTCATGTGATAAAGATTCAATGAGAATCAATACAAGGTACTTGAAGCCTTGATCTTGTTAACTCCATTAAGTCAAAAAGAAACAAAACCATAATGTTCTAATCTTAACTTTCAGAAGATGCAAAAAAGAAGAAACTCCACTGCAGAATGTTATAACCGAAAATGGATCAGTGTTTAAAAAGAGTATAAGCATCTACCTGTTCAACACAGAGAAGGCTGATTGACAACGATTCCACTTTAGAAATATCATGAAACAAATCATAAGTGGATTCTTCAAATCTAAACAAATCCTGAGCATGAATCACTGCTTTCTTCAAGGAATACAGACTGTCAAACAGAAATTTCATAGCTACATAACCAGTTAACTTCAAATACACAAGTTTTGGGCAAGAAATCTTAAGACTCAGACACATCTTCCAATCTAAGTCTAGGTCATCATCAATAGCTTTTTCTCTGTTATCAATTCTCAAATTCTTGAGCTTCGGAGATGAAATAACAAGAGAATAGGCACTGCAGTCTCTCAAACTCAAATCCTCAAGCAATGGGCAGCTTTCAAGAAAATATTTTAATAAATCATCACCGAATAAGTCAACTTGGGTCAACTCAAGAACCCTAAGTGCCTGAAACCCTATAATATTAGGCAAACATAGACGAAACCCGAGCAAACACAACTTTAACACCTCCAACGAAGCACAAGTCACTAGAGAATGGGGCACCTGAATATCCTCAGACTCGTCTATTGGGCAAAACATCAAGTCAAGTAGTTTGACTTTTCTCATAACAGCAGCATGAATCCAATGCCTTATGGTTAACATACTGTTGAAATTCGCACACCATAAGCGAAAACTTTCCAAATGTTGGGGTTTGTTTAGGAAAACCCAATACACAAACTCTCTGTTACTATTCCATTCTGGGAGATGATTCAGTTGATGGGCATAATTTATGTCTATGGAGGGAACTGAAGTCCACAAATACCTCCATCTTCTTGACAAAATGCTGCTTCTAATTGACTGTTGTGTACCTTCAAGACGTGAAAGAATCAAGTGAAGAAGATGATCCGGCAAGTTACTGATCATATCAACCCCATCTAGTTCGCCTTCTGATTTCTTTGCTCCCTTGGATTTCTTCATCACTCTGTTACTTTAGTGATTTCTATAGCAAATCATTGAGAAAGACATTTAACACATACAGAGTAGACATTTAATCAAACAGATTGTGAACAACAAGATGGTAAAGCTTCTACACAAAGCGAAAGGGTGTGCGTTTCGTGTCCTGATTGATCTCTCTTTCTATATATAGTTTTTCTTTCATATGTGAGGTTATCTATTTACACCCATTTATTAGATTAGGGACTAATGGCATAATATGGCAACTAAGTATGTCAATTTTACTTTCGTGCCATTGCTTACTAACTGTACATTTAAATTTACTGTATTTTGATGTATTATTTTATCACTAATGTTGCATTGAATAACAAAAAAATAAAGTTAAAAAAAAAAAAAGCAAAAACAGAAACAAAATTAATTGACAATCTAGAAATTAAATACTTTTTATGAAATTTAAGGGTTAGTGTCATGGGATGGGATTCTAAATTTGTACACTTTAACTGTATTTTGATCTCCGTAAGTTAAGCTTGACTCTCACAGAGGCCTCATAGGTATAAATCTTGTATCAGTATACTGTCACGGAAGTTGTAACCTTCCAAGCTTCAAAAACTTCAAACATTAAAAGCAAATAATAAAATTGAAAACTAAACCCTACATGATCATTAAACTTTCAAACTTCAAAAACTTTAGACATTACAAATATATAAATATAAACCGCAGATAATCATCAACCAAACAAATCGAAATCCAATAATAAAACTAAAATTAGAGATATTTGAGAAAAAAGAGTATACAAAGAACATATAAACCTTAGATAATAACAAACCGTATTCAAATTACAAACAAAATGAAATACATTTGAGAAAGATACCTGTTTAACGATTTCGTTTGTTTCCCGCCAATCTGAGCATGCAACTGCGGCGAAACCTGATCGTAGCCGAGTAATCGACCACGATTATTGATTTATTTCTTCCTTCTGTCTCGATTTGCTAATAATATGTTTTTTTGGCCTCAATTTGGGCCTAATTGACTAGGCCCAAGGGTTCAATGCTTAACTGACTCTGGAAACAAAAGAATAAACGTTGAAAACATAACCTTGTCATATGTGATCACAAAATAATTATTTACAATAGGTTTGATTACTTACAAATAAAGGTGCGTCTATTGTTTGTGAACTGAAATAAAAAATGTTATATTTTGTTTCTTTTTTAAATGGAAAACTTTTACTTTTTTTTTTCTTTAATTTTCTTGCAATAAAACCTCTTTGCTATACTTTTTTTTACAAAGTGAATGAACGAAAATTCTAATTTAATCTTTTATAAACCCAATTCTGTTTATTTGGTCATGTTTAACTCCCTACAAAAATATTCCAAACAAATTGACGCAGCAAATTTACACAATAAAAATGAAATTTAAGCCAAGTAGTGTACAAGATAATGCAATATGTTCATCCATTTTGGACAATATATTTTTTCATTTAAGTGCATATCTTAACTCCCTAAAATAACTAAATTCAACTCATATTGTGTGAAACGATGCGGTGTAATGTATCCCGTGAAAAAAAAAAAAACAGTACATCTCTTATGAAGTTTGTATCTAGTCCAGTCTATCTTATTGGACATTGTATTCAAGTAAACATTGGTTTTTTATTATTCCTAATTTTTCTTTTTTTATTGGACACAGTTGTATCTAATACATATGTTTAAAGATTGATGTAATCTTTTTATTTTTTTCATGGTAAAGAAGAGACCAAATCCATCTTCTTTGAATATCAGGTATAATCTTACTTTATACAAAGGTGAATATGTGTTTTTACCTTTTAGTCACATTTATGTATTGCATATCATGTGTTTTGTTTAAATTTGAGAACAATTTAGGATTATCATTCCATGACATATTTTGATAAAAGGATCATAGTATATCTTATCTTTTACTAAGTTTAATGCTAATTACTTAAATGGTTAAATGTAATAAATAACAACCAAAATCAATGGCATTTTTATGGTCACTAATTAGGTAAATCAGTGACCACTTTTTATGATCACTAATTGGACAAAAGAGTGACGACCTTTTATGGTCACTAATTATATAAAACAGTGACGACTTTTAGTGATAGTGACAACAATTAGTGACGAAATGAGTCATAATTTAGTGACAACAATTAGTGACGAAATGAGTCATAATTTAGTGACCATTAGATTTTAGTCACTAATTAGTGACCACATTTATATTTTGGTCACTAATCAACTTTTGTGACGGACCTATAGTTACGAAAAGTGACGACTAGAAGTTTGGTCACTAAATCATTTAATGATGACACCTTCTATTCTAAGTGACCATTTTGTTTTGTCACTAATTGTCTTTTTTTTTTTTTTTTTTTTTTTTTTTTGTAGTGAGCTAAACATCTTAAAACATTATGACTGCCATAGGAAGTTCTAACCTTCCAAGCTTCAAAAACCTCAAACATTACACACAAATTATGAAACTGAAAATTAAACCCTGCATAACCATTAACCTATCAAATAAGTTATAAAACTGAAATTAAAGATATTTTTGAAAAATAGAAGAGTATACAATGAACATATCAACCCTAAATAATAACAAAACATACTCAAATTAATATATATATATATATATATATATATATATATATATATATATATATATATATATATATATATATATATATATATATTTGAGAAAAGTACCTTGTTAAATAGATGCAACGCCTTGGAGTTTAAGAATTAAGGGAGGGTTGTGAACAATTTCATTTGTTTCCCATTGTTCCTTAGTGCTAGTAATCGACCATGATTATTTCCGATTTCAGGGCTATTTTGAATTGCTGAAAGCTTGAACCATCTTTTTTTGGCCTCAAATTGGCCCAGTTATTAACATATTTCTAGTATTTACGTACTTTTTAATGAGCTGAACCTAGTAGTATAGTATAATGAATTCGATGACAAATAGGAATCGTGATCGCTTTATGACAAAAGGATTTTTGCTCATGAAATGAATTTTTAAAAATATCACAAATATGCAGGGTGTTTGATAAATGAGTAAATAAATAGTTTAACTTCTATTTGTTGATCTATGAGTCCATGACATTTTTTTTTTGTTTTTCCAGTCCATCAACGTTTGTATTTGTTTCATCCATGTCATACAACCCTCCAATGCCATTTTAGAAAGGGTTATTGATATTATTGATCATCGGAGTATTGAAAAGTGAAGACACTTATTTGACCATTACAGATATAACGACAAAGTGTTAAATAGGTCACCAAGCATACAACTTCACCACCAGGTGTCATTTGCTTCTGAAATGGTGTCCACATGAAATGGTATAGCATAACACAAACAAATCTAGATTGGAGATAATTGGAAATGAAACAACATAACATTGGGAAAAACAAAAATCCAAATCCAAAAACACCCACATGAAACCAAGAAATCTTGTCTACCCATAACGTGAAAAGTTATTCATTCTACTACTTACACAGTTTATCGCAAAGCTTCTAACATCAGCCATTCATCAGTAGAATCATGAGTTTGACTAGGGGTGTAATCGATACAGGTATTAACATGGAAAAACAAAAATGTAACTTTGAAGCTTCATTCATGAGCTCGGATCGACTTGAATCAGGACGATTTCTGGTATTTTTGGGCCCAGCCATGGGTTGAGTTGGTTTAGGTTGATCACACCTGTAAGTTTGACAGCTGAAGAAGCCTTGTGAAATTCTGAGACTTGATTCATAGTCTCCATTGACCTCTCATGGAACTTGGCTTCATCACTCCAACTGAAAACCATTTCCTCCAATTCCTTTCCATGCTCCAATAAGGATCGGGCTAAATTTAGTTCAGGCTTATTTTCTTGGAATTCAAGAAATTCCACCTTTTTCAGATGACGAGTCAAGATGCTCATAGTTTCAGGTGTGGCTTCATCTTGATTCCACTTGTCCAATCCATAAACATTCTAGATCATCAAACAAAAGCACATGTGAGAAATGGCCCCTGTAGTTGACTAGTCCCACGTGAAATTACTAAAATAACCTTTCCTAGTCCTTTTATCTTTGATCTTTAATTGATTTCTATATCTGGATTCTGGAAGATGATGGGAGAGTGGGGTTGGGGTGGGAGTGGGGTGAGGTGTGTTTTGGTGGGGCCCATGAACTTTGATTTCTTTTTGAATTAATTTATATAAAAAATAAAAAAAAAACCCAGAAAATGGTACCAAATACCAATGCCATCAGGGACCAAAACAGTAACAAAATTCAAACTTAGGAACTTGTATGGTTAGAAAAAATAAACTGGACTGAGAGTGCAGTTTTTGGACAACTACAGTGACCATTTCTGTAATTTACTCCAAAAAATATTAACTCATATGAGAATACCTTTGGAAAAACCAAATGAAGATACTCCAGATCTGGAAGACAGGTGAGAAATCGGATGAGTACATGTAGGGCATCAACTGTAAGCTCCAACGTCTTGAGATTAGGTAGAGATATAGGGTCATCTTCATCTCTAAAGCCCATCTTTTCATATGGAAAAACAAAGATGACATAAAAAAAGAGTATTAGGGTTACAAAGACCAATTAGAAGTGTCATTTGCACAAAAAAACATGAAACATAAGCACCGGATGTCATGTTTCATGTTAAGTGCATAATCAGTGTTGACATGTTTAGATCCCTAGGTGCATAAATTCATATATAATACCTTAGCAGAGATTATGTGAGTCCTGATTTTAAAAGTGTGGTATGTAATTCTTGAAAGATTAAGATGTCAAAAGAGAAAATGTGCAAAATTTATACTAAACGATCATGCAATAGGTAAATACACAATTATACAAGGATGACAAAACATGACATAAGGGTATAAGTCTATAAGAATCTACCTGTTCAACAGAGCGAAGGCTGATCGACAAAGATTCCACATGACGCATGTCATAAAACAAATCATAAATGGGTTCCTCAACTTCAAACAATTCTTCAGCGTAAATCACAGCTTTCTTCAATGAACATAGATTGTTAAAGAGAAACTCGGTAGCTACATAACCCGTTAACGTTAAACACACCAGTTTTGGGCAAGAAATCTCAAGGCTTAGACACATGGCCCAATCTATATCTAATCCCTCCTCACTGTACCCATCATCATCAACTAGTTCTTGGGTATCAATTCTCAGATTCTTGAGCATCGGAGATGAAATAACAAGAGAATAGGCAGGGCAGTCTATCAAACTCAAATCCTCAAGCAATGGGCAGCTTTCGAGAAAATATTTTACCAAATCATTCTTCAACAAATCAACATCGTTCAGCTCAAGAACCCTAAGTGCCGAAAACCCTGTAAATTTGGGCACACTTAGAGGACCTCTCATCAGATGCAACCTTAATACCTCAAGCGAAGCGCAAGCCACCAGACAATCGGGCATCTCAATATCCACAGAATCATCTATTGGGCGAAACAACATGTCAAGTAGTTTGACTTTTCTCACAACAGCGGCATGAATCCATCGCCTTATGGTCGACATATTGTAGCAACTCGCACACCATAAACGAAAACTATCCAAAACAAGAGGTTTGTTTAGCAAAACCCAATACACAAACTCTTTGAATACGTCGCTTTTCAATATCAGAAATCCATATGAGAGACCCACTCCTCGGGTAAAATCTATGTCTATAGAGGGAATTGAAGTCCACAAATACCTCCATCGTCTCGACAGAATGCTGGTTCGTGTTAATTCTTCGGTACTTGGAATACGTGAAAGAATCAATTCAAGAATATCATCCGGCAACTTACTGATCATATCAACCCCATCTGATTCGCCTTCTGATGCATTTGCTAGCTTGGATTCCTTCATCACTCTGTTACTGTGATGTGAATATAATACCACTCAGACAGATAGTCAAAACACACACATACACACACATTTAATCAATCTCTCTTTTCTTGTGTAAGATCTTCTATCTACATAATGCACTTCTATTCTATTAAGGGTTAGTGTCATAATAAGGCAACTAAGTATTCCAAAGTTTAGGTACACTCATGTCAATGCATTTCTAATTGCACATTTTAAAGCATTATAGTTTCCAACTGTCTATATTTATCTCATATGAAAACTTAATGTTACACCTAAAAATTACACTAGTTTGATGTATTATTTTGTATACATTTATATTCTTTACTAATGTTGCATTGAATAACAAATATAAAGTTCAAAATTAAAACAATAACTAAAACCAAAAACAGAAACAGATACAAGACTAGAACTATAATTATATCAACATTCTAGAAAATAGAAATTAAATAATTTTTTTATATTAAAGGGTTAATGTCATGGGATGGGATGCCAATTTTTTACTCTTTAGCGGGATTTTGATATTTATAAGTTGAGCTTTCTTCTCATACGATGCATCGGTATAGATATCTTAAATCAAAGTTCTAAACTTCAAACATTACTCGCAAATAATCATTAAGCTTCCGATCATCAAACACTTCATACATTACAAAAAATATAGAAAACGTATATAATCATCAACCAAACAAACCAAACTCCCATTATAAAACTAAAATTAAAGACATTTCAGCAAAATACAAGAGTATACAAAGAACCCACAAACCCTAGATAATAACAAACTATATTCAAATAAAAAAAATGAAAAATACTTGAGACAAATACCTTATTAAATAGATACTAGTTTAAGAACAAATGGGCGATTGTTAACGATTTCGTCTGTTTCCCGCCCAATTTGAGGCTGCATCTGCGGTGTAATCATCCATGCTCCGTGCTAGTAAATGTAGTAGTAATCGTCTAATCGACCACGATTATTTCTGGATTTTGGGCTGATTCTCGATTGCTGGAACTAATAACATCTTTTTGGGCCTCAGATTTGGCCCAGTTCTCGAAGGCTAAGGCTTAACTACTTCTTGGCTGTATAAAAACTGTTTATCACAAAAATTTCTACACATATAATAAACTTCTGAAAATATCATAAATATAAGAAAACGTCCATATAGTAGAAAATGTCATTTATATTATTAATTATCAATTATCAATATACTGGCGAATTACATATTGACCATTAAAGATTAAAAGGTCTATCAACAATAACATACTACTAACATATGTAGCATGGGACATGACATATTCCGATCCAAGTGCCACTAATATGAAGTCCACATGAATTTTTTTTTATTAAATTTTTAAAAAATCTATAAAATTGTTATTATTATTATTACTATCATTTTTTTCTTAAATTATGAAACTTCATTTGTTTTTACTAGATATTTTTATATCCATGAACATGGATAAAAAGTCAATACATATTGACGGATAGCAAACAAGCAACAAGCTGTGTTGTTAGTCATTTCTGAATGACAAAATTAATTCTTTTGAAAATAACATTTGTAGATGTAGGAGATATAAAATTAATATGCATGACTCATTGGACTCTGTTGAGGAGCTCCACTGTCTCTGGTGCGAGAAAACAAAATGTATCAAATGCTAAAGGTATAAACATATGTTGATTTTCAATGTATGCATTCTTGTGCTTTGTTATTTTGCATGCAGCGGCTTTCACCAAATCTAAAAAAGGAACATAGATTGCATAAAATAAAACATCACCCAAAATTGAACACATCAACAAAATTTAATACCCATGATGATTTATGAGTGTAATCAATTCGAGCCAACTCATGAGGCACTAAAAATCAGTTAGGTTTAGATGGAGTTAAGTTTGGGCTACTCTAGTATATTATCAAGCCTAGCTTGAGTATTGAAATGCATGGCTCGTTAGCTCACAAGCTTTAAGCTTAACCTAGCTTATTGATATTCATTTATTCTTTATTTTATTCATATTTACATAAATTGGGGCAAGTCAAGTCATCAAGTCAAGATTGTGAGATTATTTAATGTTGTTTTATTTATTTATTAACTAATCTTGTCGGGAAGAACCGAGTTCAACATTGTCAATTACTTTATTGAGGTCGAGCCCAATCATGAAAATTCAGGCTCGATCGAGCTTGAGTTTTTTATTCAAGGTGAGCTTCAAAATTGGCATTACACAGCTCAATTACCCCTTACGAGGATCATGATGTACGTCATCTCCAAAAGAACAAACAAATAAGTACGTATTATAGCAAAACACAAACAAAACTAGACCTAAGAACCAGACTAATATTTTCTAGTAATAAGTAAAATTGTAAAAATGAACAAGTTGAGTAATGAAAGAAATCCAAATCTAAAACATATCCACATAAACCCAAAAAATATTGTTTACCCATACAGGGAATAGGAAGTTACAACAAACACAAATTTTGACACAAAGCTTGTAACATCATTCCATTCACAAGAGTCATGAGTTCTACTATGGGTGTAATCGACCTGAGTCGAATCGATACAATGTACCAAAAAGGGTAAAAATGTAACTTTTACAAAGCTCACGAGCTTCAACAGCCAAGTAGTTTAACACTCGAGTTGCTCGAGAAAGAGCTTGACTCAGCTTGAATCGAGTCGATTTCTAATATGTTTTGGGTTGAGTTCGAGTTGGCTTGGCTAGGGTTGATTATACATCTAAGTTTGATAGATGAAGAAGCCTTGTGAAATTTTGAGACTTGATTCATAGTCTCCATTGACTTTTCATGGAACCTAGTTTCATCACCCCAATTGAAAACCATTTCCTCTAATGCATGTCCATGCTCCAATAAGGCACATGCTAAATCTAGTTTCGGCTTTTCTTCATCAAATTCAAGAAATTTAACCTTTTTCAGATGATGAGTCAAGACTCTCATCGTTTCAGCATCATCTAGCTTCCAGTATTTCAACACACAAGCATCCTAGATCACCAAACAAAAACACATGTTGAGCTGCAAAAATCCAAACAAGTTTGGAATTTAAGTGTAGGTCAAATACTAGATATAAATAACATCATAAGTATGTTTGTAGAATATATATATATATATATATATATATATATATATATATATATATATATATATATATATATATGATTAAAAAAACTAATATAAATATTTAGAAGACTATAAACATTTGAATACACATTTGGCACCTTGAATTGTTTTTCATTTTAGCTAACTTTTTGTATTTTACTCATTTGATAAAAATATAATCTAATTGATCCATTTAAAGGTAAACAAGTTGGAATTTTCCAGCCTTTATGAATTTATGAAAATGAGCCACATGCTTCAAGATTGTGATACACAAAAAAATATCATTTGATATGAGAATACCTTTGGAATGATCAAATGGAGGGACTCCAGATCCGGAAGACGTGTGAGAATTTGAATGAGAGTATCCATGAAGTTGTAGGCATGAATTGTTTGCTCCAAAGTCTTGAGATTAGGTAGAGATACAGAGATATCTATATTGCCATAATGACAACAAGCAAGGGTTTGGAGGTTGTGATTGATGGTAATAAACATGTCAAAACAAAACAACACCTACAAATCTTATTATATAGTTCATGATTAATGTTGTAATCTTAACTTAATAGTACATAAAATGGATGTCTAAAAAATACTACACTGCAAATATGTTAACCAAATGAGGAATTGTTAGGAAAGAGAATAGCACCTACCAACTTGATGCAGTAAATGTTGATCAATAAATACTCCACATGAGATATTTCATCAAAATATTAAAAAGTGTCTAATTGTTCTTTTGCCTCATATAAATCAGTAATGTGAATCACTGCTTCCTTTAAAGAGTATAGAGTTCCAAAGCGAAAACACATGGCTACATTACTAGCCTACTTCAAAAACACTAGTTTTGGGCAAGAAATCTCAATACGTGAATACTTCCTAGTATAACAGTATTCTCCAGTCTCTTCATAATGGTTCTTAATTCTCAGATTCTTAAGCTTTGGGGATGAAATACAAAGATCTTGCCATTCAAGCACTATGCAGTCTGTCAAACTTAACCCCTCAAGCAATGGGAAGCTTTCGAGAAAATGTTTTACCAAATCACACTTTCCTAACCCAACATAATTCAACTCAAGAACCCTAAGTGCTGGAAAACATGTAATGCTAGGCAAACATAGAGCACACCTGAACAAACACAACCTTAACACCTCCAGAGAACTACAAGTCACCGGATAATGTGGCACCTCAATATCCTCAGACTCCTCCCTAGAGCAGAACATCAAGTCAAGTAGTTTGACTTTTCTCATAACAGCAACATGAATCCACTGCCTTATGGTCGACATGTTGTAGTAATTTGAACACCACAAATGAAAGTTATCTAAATCAAGGGTTTTGTTTAGTAAAACCCAATATACAAAGTCTTTGAATCTGCTCTTTTTGAATATTTTTGAGGGCTTCAGTCAGTGGGTATAATCTATGTCTATGGAGGGAACTGAAGTCCACAAATACCTCCATCGTTTCGACAAAATGCTTGTTCGAATTACCTCTTTTGTACCTTGAAGACGTAAAAGAATTAATCGAAGAACAAGATCCGGCAAGATACTAATCATATCGACCCCAACTTCACATTCTGATACATTTGCTTGTTTTGATTTCTTCATGACTCTGTTACTTTGTTGATGCATAACAAATCATTGAAAAGGATTGTGAACAAGACATCACAACTTCTACACAAAAGCTAAAGTATATATCATTGCATTTCTAATTGTACATTCCAAAGCATTATAGTTTATAATTGTTTATATATTATCTCATATGTAAACTTTATGTTACACGGTATTACTTTGTATGCATTTATATCAAATATGAAATCCAGAACTTAAATAATTTTTTTAGATATTGAAAAGGTTAATGTCATGGGAAGGGATGCTAATTTTTACTCTTTAACCGGATTTTGATATGTATACGTTAAGCTTGACCCTCACAGGACACAGGTAAATTTCTTAAATCTATATGACTGTCATGGGTGTTCTAACCTTCCAAGCTTTAAAAATTTCAGACATTACATATAATCCGTATATAATCATCACGAAACAAACCAAATTCAAGTTAAAAAACTAAAATTAAGGTATTTGAGAAAAATAAAAGAGTATAGAAAGGACATCTATAACCTAAATAATAACAAACCATATTCGAATTAGAAAAAAGATAGATATTTGAGAAAGATACATGATTAAATATATAGTTTAAGAAATACTGGGGCGATTGTGAACGATTTCTTTTGTTTCCCGCCCAATCTGAGTTGAATCTGCGGCGTAATCATCCCCTGTGGCCACTGCACCCTGCTAGTCCACGATTATTTCTGGTTTATAGGTTGTTTCTCAATTGTTTGAAACATATTTTTTGGGCCGGCCTAGTTGTCCAGTGTGCAGTGCTTAACACTGCCTATGGGCTGAGCTAAAATTTCTTGGATCATGATCTTTTTTATAACAAAACATTTTCTAAAATATAATAAACTTTTGAAAATACCATAAAGATTAGATAAATGGGTATAAAACATGTATGGTGCATGTGGCTTAGCTATGCTATGAGTCATTACCAATGGATTTTTTTTTCTTTTCAGATTTACATAACTTCAATACCAAATAAAATTTACATAATTTCAGTAAAAAAAATCTACATAATATTTAACCACACATAATTAGCCTCATAACATTTACCAAAATTTTATAATAAAAACACATCAGTTGAGCTATAGCAAAAAGTTTATCTAAGATCCAAAATAGATGAGTTTTTTTTGTCATTTTGAAGGTATATAAAGTTGGCAATATGAACATTAAAAATCAAGTCAAATGTTATCAAATTATCTCATATTCAAAGGGTTCTTATATTTACTTTATGGAATTGCAAAGAATGAGCCTACAACGGATTATCAAACATAAGCTATTAGTATACATAGATGTGAAAAAGTTCACAAAGTCCAATTATAATAGTTTAATACGGTTTTTAATTGCTCATTTTAATCGGTTCAACTGGATTTTTGTAACAACCGGTATGTTCTGGTTGTGAAGTAAGCATAAAACGAATGCTAGTTGAACCATTCCATTCCTATGTTCGTGGTTTGACCGATCGGTTTGAACCGGCTTTTAAACCATTAGTGTTTTCATTTTTGTCTTCGACATCAACATTTTATTTGTTGTATCCATGTAACACACCGTAGGCCATTTTTAAAATTGGTTAGTAATATAATTAAGCATCAATGTATATGAGATTACTTATTTAGTGACGCATTCTATTGAACAAATACTTGTGTAACGATGAGATTACTTATTTAGTGACGCATTCTATTGAACAAATACTTGTGTAACGATTTGACCATTGTTATATGTTATAGTAATTTTACCTGGTCACCATCATATGTGGTTTGAAATCCCAAATGTAATGGCTACTAAGATATGCCACGTATGATGAATGGCTTGAAATCCCAAATGCCAATCAAATACATTTTACTTTGGACTCATGTCCATTTTTAGCATCGACAATTTTGGAGACAAATTTTGCAATTGAGAATTGCTTTAGGTTTCAAATGTGCAATAAATTAAACATATTAATGATATATCCCTAACTTTTGACAAAGCATGTGAACAAGATTTGTAATCTAATCATAATTAAACAAGTAAATAAGTTGTTATTAGAGTACCTTAACTCATTGTTATTTATGAGGTCATCTTTTACTTTCAATGTTGAAACTAATATTCACACACTAACAATGAATCTTAAGCCAAATCAAAATGTACACGTTCATCCATTATACTCGAGGTACTTTTTTTTCATTTGGGAAAATATATGAACTTAATAAAATAACGAAATTTAAATAATGACAGTGTATTGCCTATAGTGGAAGAACGAATATACTTCCACATATAATCAAATTTGACCTAAATTATGTTGCTATTGTGTGCATTTAACCCAAAATTTAATACATCTTCCAACAAATTTTCTTACTCAAGAGGATCATAATGGAAACCATTCCAAAAAGAAAAAACGAATGATTTTCTTTTTCCTCCAAAGATCACTCTTAAGAAAAAAAAAATGGAGTTGCAAAGACAAACAAGCAGTTAATTTAGCATAACACAAACAAAACTAGACTGGAAAACCAAACTGATAGTTTCTAGTTATAAGTGAATGAACAACATCAAGCAGTTAATTTAGCATAACACAAGCAAGAGTTTGATTCAATCCGAGTCGACTTCTGCTATTCTTGGGGCGGGTATGGTATTGGCTCAGGTTAGGTTGGGTTGATTAAAAATCTAAGTTTGACAGCTGAAGAAGCCTTGTGAAATTCTGAGACTTGATTCATAGTCTCCATTGACCTTTCATGGAACTTGGCTTCATCACTCCAACTGAAAACCATTTCCTCCAATTCCTTTCCATGCTCCAATAAGCCACGAGCTACCACTAGTTTCGGCTTTTCTTCATCGAATTCAAGAAACTCAACCTTTTTCAGACAACGAGTCAAGATGCTGATTGTTTCAGCATCTTTTAGATTCAACTCATCCAATCCATAAACATACTACATCATCAAACAAAAGGAAAATGTTTTACATGATGAGGTGCAAAAGTCCCAACTAGTTTTAAATTCTTGAAAAATGTATTTCTAGGCTCAAATCTCAATTGCTCTTTCATGTAACAGGATAATGTAGAGGTCCCAAGTTCAAATCCTTTTCATAAGAAAACATGATTTGCTTCATTATAAGAGAATATTTTTCGTGGGTCCCATTAATAAATAAGATAATAAATGACATGCTTCAAGACTGAAATAAAAAAATAAAACATTTGATCTGAGAATGAGAATACCTTTATAAAGATCAAATGGAGAGACTCTAGATCAGGAAAACATTTGAGAAATGGGATGAGCATATGCACTCCGTACGGGTCATCAACTGTTATCTCCAAAGTCTTGAGATTAAGTAGAGATATAGGCTCATCTTCATCTGGCCAATAGCACTACACCCAGGAAGTTTATTTTATAGCTTCTGATTAATGTTCTAATCCAAAAATAGAGTCTTCTATTCATATGAAATGAGCTAAAGTTTTCATCCTTGTAATTCATTTAACATCACACAACTAATAATATTACTTCATTTTGTATGGTTCCGATTTCATATTTGGAAAATAAGTGTATATGGGACCCACATAACGCAGATGACACGACATGGAATTTAATATAAAGGCGAGCATTAGACAACCCTGTCTTTTTGCAAAACTACTAAGGAAAGGTTGCATAGAACTTTTTCATAGAGTTAATGAGTAGTATTGGTATACAGAAGTCTTGCTTTTGTAGGCTAACATATTTTAAAATGGATTGAACAATATAAAACGATGTGCTTTATCATAACACTGTTTCAGAGCATACATCAAAAGAGGAAAGTACATTGCAAAATATAATAAATGAAATAGAAAATTTTATACCTGTTCGATGCAGTAAAGGCTGATGGACAAAGATTCCACTTGTGATAGTTCATCAAAAACATCAAAAGTGGGTTCTTCCAATTGAAAAAAATCTTTAATATGAATCACAGCTTTCTTCAAAGAGTATAGATTTTCAAATAAAAAATGACAAGCTAGAGAACCAGTTAAATTCAAAAACACCAGTTTTGGACAAGAAATCTGAATTTCGAAGCTCATTCGACAATTTATGAATTCGTCTACTTCATAATCAAAAGTTCTTTCCCGATTTTCGATTCTCAGACTCTTGAGCTTCGGAAATGAAATATTAAGACAATTAGCATCGCAGTGTAACAAAGTCAAATCCTCAAGCAACGGGCAGCTTTCAAGAAAATATTTTAACACATCAGTCTTTTTTAACGTAACATCATTCAACTCAAGAACCCTAAGTGCTGGAAACCCTGTAATCTTAGGCACACATAAACGATCTCCGAGCAAACATAACCTTAAAACTTCCAAAGAACCACAAGTCACCAGACAATGGGGCACCTCAACATCCTCAGACTCATCTATTGGGCAAAACATCAAGTCAAGTAGTTTGACTTTTCTCACAACAGCCGCATGAATCCATCGCCTTATGGTTGACATATCGTAGTAATCCGCACAACGTAAACGAAAACTATCCAAATCAAGAGTTTTTTTAGTAAAACCCAATACACAAACTCTTTGAATCCATTACTTTCCAATTCCTTGTCTGGATCCAATCCTCGGGTATAATCTATGTCTATAGATGGAATTGAAGTCCACAAATGCCTCCATCTTCTTGACAAAATGCTTGTTCGAATTGCTTCTTCAGTACTTGGAATACCTGAAAGAATCAGCTGAAGAACATGATCTGGCAAGTTACTGATCAAATCAACCCCATCTTCTCCTTCTGATGCATTTGCTTGCTTGGATTTATCCATGGGTCTGTTACTGTGATGTGAATAAAAGATCATTCAGTAAGACATTTTATCAAACAGTTTGTGAACAACAAGACATTACAGCTTCTACACAAAGTAAAAGGGAGTAAGTTTCGTGCCAAGATATATCTATTTCTCTATATGTTTTTTCATATGTCAGATTTTCTGTGTACACCTCTTTATTAGATTGAGGGTTAATGTCATAATATGGCGACTAAGAATTTCAGTTTTACATTCATGTTCTTTCCAAAAAAAGCATTTACATTCATGACATTGCATTTCTAAATGTACATTGTAACGCATTAGAGTTTCTAACTGTTTAAATGTTGTTTCATATGAAAGCTTTTTGTTACATCTTAAAAATGCAGGATTTTGATGTATTAACTTGTATGCCTTTACATAATTTACTAATGTTGTATGGAATAACAAAAATAAAGTAGAAATAAAAAATAATTAAACTAAATGCAAATACAGAAACAAAAGTAAAGCTAAAACTATATATATATATATATATATATATATATATATATATATATATATATATATATATATATATATACTATCAAACATGACAATTTAAAAATTATATAATCATATTTAAATAATTTAAACTGTTTTAAGGGTTAATTTCAGGGGATTGAATGCCAGCTTTTTACTCTTTAACTGTATCTTAATTTCCATAATTTAAGCTTGGATAAGTAAATACATAAACCAACATGACTGTAATGTGAGGTTCTAAGCTTACAAACTTCAAAAACTTTAAACATTACACGCAAATAATAAAACTGAAATAAACTCTAAATAATCTTCAAAAACTTCAGACATCGCAAAAAAAAAAAAAAAAAAAAAAAAAAAAAAAAAAAAAAAAAGAAAGTAGATTAAATCAACCAAACATTCCAAATTCAAACAAAAGAAAAACCTAAAATTAAAGATATTTAAGCAAAATGCAAAAATATATAAAGAATATACAAACCCTAGATAATCAAACAAACCAAATTCAAATAATAAAGCTGAAAATTAACATATTTGAGAAAAAAAAAATACTTGATTATATAGATGCAGTAGCTTGTGGTTTAAGTGTTAATCGGTGGCCTTAGCGATTTCATTTCCAATCGACGACGATTTGTTTTCATCGTTGTAAGTGAGTAATAATCCCCTGCTCCCTGCTACTCTGCTAGAGTGCCAGTAAGTCGACCATGATTGTCTCTTGCTTCTGGGCTGAAATCAGACTTGCTGAAAACAGTGTTTTTTTATTTTTTCGTTTCGGCCCTCAAAGCTCTGGGCTGGGCCTAGCAGTATAACACAAATGGATTCTATGGACTATGGGAATCAATAAAAAATGTATAATTATCTTTTTATCACAGAAGTTTTTTTGCACGTATTGGAATCTTGATCTTTTTGGGTTAATTTGGATATTTTATTTTTATTTTTACACATGTTTATGTTATCTCGATCAAATCCACTATAATTAGAGGGTGTAGCTTTTGAAAGCCAAAAAGTCTTTTTTGTAAAAGATGGAAAAGTCAGGATTCCGTGACTTTTCAAAAAGATGTCATTTACTCTATTGAAAATGTTGGAAAAATCAGGATTACCAAACATGTTTTTGACTTTTAGAAAAAAATAAAAGTTAAAAGTCCCTTTAAAAGTTATTCCAAACACCCTTTTAATATATCAACTACTAATATTTAGAAAAAGAGATTCACTGCAGTTTGTTAATTCCAACGGTTAACTTGTGGTTTTCTTTAGATCATGTACAAATCTATGTCATACTAAACCAGGTTGTTCATGAACTGTTTGAAATCGCAAATGGCAATCACATACATTTTACATTGAACTCACATTTTCCTTTGGACTCACATCTTAACGTTAACAATTCCATACACAAATCTTGCAATAGAGAATCACTTTAGGTTTCAAATGTGCGAGAAATGAAACATCTAAACGATATCCCTAACTTTTGGCAAACCAAGTGGACAATATTTGTAATTTAATCATTATTATTAAAGTATTTTAACCCAATGTTACTTATGTGATCTATCTTTTACTTCCTACTTCAACTATGAAACAGAGGAAATAGCTTAAGTGGGTAGATTAGAAAGAAGAATAAATAGAGAAGAGTCACGTTAGGGGATGTCTAGATTTTTCTTTGTTATTGTGATACTCTATAGCGGCTCTAGCCTTTGGCTGTGAGAGAGGGGTTTCCCCCTGGATCAATTATCTGATTGTGTTTTGCTTTCAATCAATTTCAACATCGTTTCCCTACTTTTCTTCTTTGTTCTTTTATTTTTGTAAGCCTTAATTTCCATTTCTCATCAGATGTCATGGGTTCATTTTCATACATATAATAACTCGTTCTAATATATATATATATATATATATATATATATATATATATATATATATATATATATATATATATATATATATATATATATATATATATATATAGAGAGAGAGAGAGAGAGAGAGAGAGAGAGGGGACAAAAAATTATGAACTTTGATGTATTCAACAAAAAAATCCAATAGAAAGTACGACTTGATGGTAAAAACAAAACAAGAATAAATAACTTTTACGTATAATCCGATAAATATATCCATAATATATAAAATAAATATACCGAAGGTATTTGGTTCATTAGTTAGTTATTTTGAAGGTATTTGGTTTATTAGTTAGTTATTTTATCGGAGAGTGATCATTGTTCAAAGATGGCAACTAGGGCACGTTGTAACGTTTTCTAACGACTGCCCTCAACATGATGTTTTATAAACACCAAAAAAAAAATTTAACTTTATCTAAAAATTTAATAAATGCCCAACAAAATTCCTAACTCAGGAGGATTAGTGGTGTAATGGAGTTGAGCCAACTCATATACTCGGGATAAGCTAAAAAATAATCAAAATTGACTCTGTTTAAGTGAAAATTAACAACATTCAACTAGGTAATGCCAAAATCCAAATCCAAGAACCATCCACATGAAACAAAGAGATCCGGTTTACCTATAACATGAATAAAGTAGCTACTACTTGCACGGTTTTTAATACAAAGCTTACAACATCAGTCCTTCATTGAGTAGAGTCATGAGTTTAACCTCAGTCGATACAATGTACCAAAAAAGGGTAAAACTGTAACTTTGACTAAGCTCACGGACTTCAACAGCCAAGTGGTTTAATACTCGAGTTGCTCGAGCACTTGCTTGAGTCAACTTCAAATCTTCTTGGGGCCAATATCGATTCGGCTTGTCTTGGGTTGATTACAAATCTAAGTTTGACATTTGAAGAAGCCTTGTGAAAGTTTGAGACTTGATTCATAGTCTCCAATGACTTTTCATGGAACTTGGCTTCATCAACCCAAATGAAAACCATTTCCTCCAATGCACTTCCATTCTCAAATAAGGCACGTGCTAAAGCTAGATGTTCTTCATCATAATCATGAAACTCCACCTTTTTAAGACGAGGAGTCACGAAGTTGATTGTTGCAGCATTTTTTAATTTGCACTTGTCCGCTCGATAAAAAAACTAGATCATCAAACAAAAGCACAAGATTTTCATGTTCAGATTGCCAAGAGTGAAAGTGAGCTACATGCTATGAATATGTGAAAGTGAGCTACATGCTTCAAGAGTGTGAAACATAAAAAATACCTTTTCCATTAGGTCCAAAAGTGAGGATTCGTTTATAAAGATCAAATGAAGAGACTCTAAATCCGGAAAGCATTTGAGAAATGGGATGAGCCTATGCACTGCATCAACTGTTATCTCCAAAGTCTCGAGATTAGGTAGAGATACAGGCTCATCTTCTTCTGGCCAATAGCACTACACCACAATCACAACAAGTCAAAATTTAGAGGATATTATCCATGCATGTAAAGGCATACACAAATGATAAAGATTCAATGAAAACCAATTTGTCACTAGGTAAAAAAGAAATACAACTGATAAGCTAAACTTTTCACCTTTTTCATTGAGAGTTTGTGTAATTCATTAAACATTACACAACTAATTCAGTTACTGCATTTTCCATATGGTGCTGATTTCCATAATTTGAAGATGTGTATATGGGACCCACATAACGGAAATAACATGAAATTTAACACAAGGCAACCATTAGACAGCCTAATCTTTTGGCAAAGGGATGTCATTTTTCCACATATGTTTTTGATTCATCCACTTAAAAAAAAAGGTTTAATCGAAGAGAGAATCATAATGAAATGTATAAAAGTCAAAACAACTTTTTTCAAGTGAATGGATTAAAAACCTTAAATAGAGCTGAGATGACTAATATGGGTTGAACAATAAAAAAAGAATATGCTCTATCATAACATAAAAGATTTCAGAAGATGGAAAAAAACAGTGCAATATATTTGAGCTGAAATGAAGAATTGTTTAAAAAGAGAATAAGCTTCTACCTGTCCCACACAGTAAAGGCTGATGGACAAAGATTCCACTTGAGATATTCTTTCAAAAAAATCACAAGGGGGATCCAACTGATTAAGAAAGTCTCTACAGAGAATCACAGCTTTCTTCAAGGAGTATAGATTGTAGAGAATAAAATCACGAGATACAGAGCCAGTTAAGTTCAAAAGCACCAGTTTTGGGCAACAAATCGTAACACTTGAACTCATCCTACAATCTATGTAATCTTCTATTTCATAATCAAAAACTCTTTCCCGGTTTTCAATTCTCAGATTCTTGAGCTTCGGACATGCAATAACAAGTTTATCAGCATAGCAGTGTAACAAACTCAAATCCTCAAGCAATGGGCAGCTTTCAAGAAAATATTTTACCAAATCACCCTTTTTTAATGTAACATCATTCAACTCAAGAACCCTAAGTGCAGAAAACCCTGTAATCTTAGGCAAACATAGATGATATCCGAGCAAACATAACCTTAACACTTCCAAAGAACCACAAGTCACCAGACAATAGGGCATCTCAATATCCTCAGACTCGTCTATTGGGCTAAACATCAAGTCAAGTTGTTAGACTTTTCTCACAACAGCAGCATGAATCCATTGCCTTATGGTCGTCATATCGTAGTAATCCGCACAACATAAACGAAAACTATCCAAATCAATGGGTTTGTTTAGTAAAACCCAAGAAACAAAATTTTTGAATCCAATACTTTCCAATACCATTTGGGGATCGTGTTCTAGACCTCGGGTATAATCTATGTCTATGGAGGGAATTGAAGTCCACAAATACCTCCATCTTCTCGACAAAATGCTGCTTCTAATTGCTTCTTCTGTACCTTGAAGACGAGAAAGAATCAATTGAAGAACACGATCTGGCAAGTTGCTGATCAAATCAACCCCATCTAATTCGCCTTCTAATGTCTTTGCTTGCTTGGATTCCTTCATCACTCTGTTACTGTGATGTGAACAAGAAATCATTCAGTAAGACATTTTATCAAACACCTTGTGAACAATAGGATAGTGCAGCTTCTACACGAAGCTAAAGGGGATAAGCTTCTAGACAAGATTGATCCCTCTTTCTCTATATGGTTTAACATATGTGAGGTTTTCTACTACACCCCTTTACTAGATTAAGGGTTAATGTCATGATGATAATATGTCAACTAAGTATTTCAATTTTGTACATCCTAAAGCATTAAACTTTCCAAGTATTTATATATTATCCCATATGAAAACTTTATGTTATGTTACATCTTAATTCTTAAAAATACAGTTTTTTTGTGTATTATATGTTTTACTAATATTGCATTGAATAATAAAAACAAAACTAATAGTATTTATAATATCAAATATGACACTCGAGAAATTAAATAATTACTTTTTAGGTATCATATGGACTTTAATCTCCATAAGTTAAGTTTGACTCTCACAGGACACAATATTTAATACTTTAAATCAATATGAGTTTCATGAGAAGGTTAGAAGCTTCAAAAATTTCAAACAATACACACAAATAAGAAAACTGGAAATTAAATCCTAGTAGTCGTTAACCTTCCCATCTTGAAAAACTTAAGACATTACATCAACCAAACAAACCAAATTCAAAAAATAAAACTGATGGATATTTGAGAAAAATAAAAGAAGATACAAAGACTATATAAACCCTAAATAATAGGAAAACATATTCAAATAAAAAAAAAAACTGATATTTGAGAAAAATACCTGATCAAATAGGTGCAGAACCTTAGGGTTTAAGAAGTAAGTGGAGGCCATGAAGGATTTCCTTTGTTTCCCAGCAAATTTGAGTCTGCATTGCTGCGTAATCACCTCTTGCTCTCTGTGCTACTAATCGACCACACTCTGATTCTTGATTTGCTGGAAACGTCTTTTGGGCCTCAGATTACGCCTTTACGTTGTTGCGGCGACCTGCACAAAAATCCGGACCCAACAAAAAAGACAGCGACCGAACCGGTTAAAAAAAGAGATCGTATCGAAAAAAATAGACCGATCCGGACCCATTTGAAAATACCGGACCGTTTCGGAGACTACTCCTAAAAAGAGCCGAACTGGTTTGAGACCGGTCTAAAAAAATAAATTTGTAACCAAACTTTATAAATATATAATTTTTTATGTTAATTATATAATTTTTAATCACAAACTATCTAATTAATTTTATTTTTTCCTTTTATGCAATTTAAATTATTATTTTTAGTAAATATTAATTTATTATTTTGGTGATAATCTCATATTATTAATGGAAAAAAAAACTCAAAACCAAAACAAATGAATCGAAAAATACCGAAACCGAACAAAAAAACACACATAATAAAATCATGAAAATAAAAATATCATAAATGTGTAAGATATTAGATAAAAGAGTACATAGTTTGTTCTTGTGGTTTTCTTATACCTATGTTGCCCGATATGGGCAACCATAAAAAACGTTGTTGAAATGCCACATAGGCAAAAACCCTCCACCACATGGTGTTTCAAACTTACAAGGCCATTGTGAGAGGAAGGGGAGAAGAAACTCCTGTTGTCCTTCGTTACGATCACAACGCCAAACCATATTATGCACAAAAACGTGAGGTTGGGGCGGTGTTTGGGTCGTGGTAACGGTGTTTTCCGGCGTCATGTCACAAAAACAAGAATTGGTGTTGCCCACACTGAGTCGTCTTATGGATCAATTCAATTTTTCCTACTCTACTCGGACCACTTTTAGGGTATGTTTGGCAATAATCGGTAGTTGGAAACTGTAATTTTTATTTGTATAAAAGTGTTCGTCAAAAGACAGTTGTAAGTTTTTTAAGGGTGTAAATTACATAAAATTAGAAACTAATGCAACTTGAATAATTTTTGAATTAGAAGATTTTTGTTTAAAATAAAAGTTATAAACTCGTATTTCCAAACAATTTTTTTTTCTTTAATTTAAGCTTTTTCTTATAAGCTAAAAAACTAAAAGCTCATATAAAACTCTCAAAAGCTCGCTACCAATCATGCCATAATCTACTATTTATTTTCATAGGACAACACAAATGAATCAAATATTTTTTTTTGAAAGCTTTATACTGTAATCTTAAATAGTTTTCATACGGTAACACAAACTCTGATACACAAAACTACTTATTTTCCCTCATAAAGCCATCATTGGAGTATATTGAAGAAATAATCCCTATGTTATAGCCGAAATCACAATGTTAGTCCAATTTTGCACATGGACAGTTCTCGTGGTTTATTTTGTTGCATTTTTGGTACTTATTATTAATTTTATTTGAAAAGTTGAACTCAAATGTTTGTAGAAGAAAACCATTTCTAGAATTTCTTCATACTCCAAAAAAATATTATGTAAACTCCATTATGTTGATTACTGTGTAATTCAGAAGATGAATGACATTTTTAATGATTAATTCTCCTATTTATATATTTATTTTGTATATTTTCATTGATAGATCATAGATGATTATGTAATCCACTAAGGATTTTGCGCAATTTGGAAGTCTTCAATTGAATCCTCTTTCTAAAATATTATATTTTAACAAATAATTGTTGAAAAATGTTGGTACATAACCATTATATCTGAATTATTTTCGATAAAAAATCAATAAGACTCATATATCTATACTAAAATTCTAAAGAAAAAAATTAGTTTTTTATATTAATATGGATCTCTATTTATAATTGACAAAAAAAATTATATTTGATATATTCATTTTTTTCCGATAAAAAATAAACCTAAAAATAAAAAACAAAACATAAAAAGATCAGGATTATTCAATAATCAGTTAAAGATATGTCCATTGTATACATGGTAAATATATGGATAATATTGGTTTATTGGTTCATTATTTAATCCAAAACCATCTTGGTAATTTAAAAAAATATGGCAACTCAATTTAGATTTAAGGCCTAAAAGGCCAAACATGCAACAAAATGAAATCATGAGAATTGGCATTTAATATAGTTGTCCTCAACATGATATACTTTTTGCAAACCACAACGACCAATCGGGAAAGATTAACTGAAAATTTAACACAACACCCAACAAGATTCCTTAATCAGGAGGATTAGTGGTGTAATCGAGTTGAGCCAACTCATTTATTCGAGATTGACTCAAAAACAATCGACATTGACTTAATTTAAATGAAAATGAACAACATTAAGTTAGGTATGGAAAAAAAGTGTTGTGTATAAAGTTGTACAATACAACACTTTAAAACACAAATTGTTGTGTATGGAAAAAAAATGTTGTGTACGAATCAATTCCCAATGCCAAAACCCTAATCCAACAAGCATCCACTTGAAACCAAGGAATTAGGTTTACCCATAACATGAATAAAGTGGCTACTACTTGCACAATTTTTAATACAGAGCTTGTAACATCAGTCCTTAACTGAGTAGAGAGTCGTGAGTTTGACTTAAGGTGTAACCGACTCGAGTTAAGTAGTTTAATACTAGAGTTGCTTGAGCACGAGCTTGACTTGACATTAATCGAGTCAACTTCTAATCTACGAATCGGCTTGGCTTGGGTTAATCACAAATCGAAGTTGGACAGTTGAAGAAACCTTGCGAAAATTTGAGACTTGATTCATAGTCTCCAATGACATCTCATGGAACTTGGCTTCATCACCCCAACTAAAAACCATTTCCTCCAATCCATTTCCATGCTCCAATAAGGCTCTTGCTACAACTAGTATCGGCTTTTCGTCATCAAAGTCACGAAACTCCACCTTTTTCAGACGAGTCAAGATGTTGATATTTTCGGCTTCTTGTAGATGCCACTTGTTCAATCCATAAACATGCTACATCATCAAACAAAAGCACTAGTTTTTCATGTTGAGGTGAAAAAAAATCCAAACTAGTTTTGAATTCTTCAACATAAATATTAAAACCAGTAAAACCTCTTTTTTGATATTTGGTAAATTTAACAAATTTCGCTAAAATAATAGAGATAATATATTTTCAAAATACCTCTAGGTTGATACCGGGCCCCATTAATATCATCAACTAATAATTATATAAACTTATACAAACATAACTAAGACAGACAACTTAGTGAAATATAATGTCGTTTGTTTTTTCTTACAACTCAAGTCTAACTTTTCTTATTGCAACCAAAATTTCTGGTGCCGTGTTCTTACACTACACCAAAATATTGTGAAGAGACAGTCATAACTGCATCAAAATTTAGCTTCAATCAACTACAAGGATCTTTTTAAATAAATAATAATAATTTATCAGTTAAAAAATATCTCTATAAAATGATTAAACATTTCCACAGCTTGGATACGATAAACCCATTGAGCTAACTTTTTTATTTTACTAGTTTACTAAAGTATAACCAGCTTGATCCATTCGTAGGTAAATAAGCAGGAATTTTTCATGATCATATACAAAATAACATTTGATATGAGAATGAGAATACCTTTACAAAGATTAAATGGAGAGAATCCAAATCCGGAAAACATTCGAGAAATTCGATGATCATATACAATCCTTGCGGGTCATCAACTGTTATCTCCAAAGTCTTGAGATTAGGTAGAGATACAGGCTCATCTTTTTCTGGCCAATAGCACTACAAGTCAAAATTTACAGGATGTTATTCATGCATGGCAATAATTAAATAGGCAAGTTAGTATGTAACCAAATGACAAAGATTCAATATCAAAACCCATAAAAGGCATGTAGCTACATTAAGCCCTGTTAGACAGTCCTTGTTAATTCCATTAGGTCAAAAGGAAATAACATCAAGAAAGTTTCTTTTATAGCTTCTGATTAATGTTCTAATCTAACATAAGGCAAGCATCAGACAGCCCTATCTTTTTGCAAAACTATAAAGGAAAGGTTGCATAAAGACTTTTTCATAGATCTAATGAAAGTTGGTACACAGCTGTCTAATACCGGTTAAACAATTAAAAAAAAAAAAAAAGTATATGCTCTATCTTAAAACAGAGATTTCAGAAGCTGCAATGCAAAATATTTTAGCCGAAATGAAGAATTGTTTAAAAAGAGAATAAGCATCTAACTGTCCCACAAAGCAAATGCTGATGGACAAATATTCCAAATGAGATATTTCATCAAAAACATCAGAAAAGGATTCACGTGAAAAGTCTGTACAGTGAATCATAGATTTCTTCAAGGAGTGTAGATTTCGGAATAAAAAACTAAAAGATACAGGGCCAACTAACTTCAAAAGCTCCAGATTTGGGCAAGAAATCTCAAGCCCCAGACAATCTAACATATCATCTACTTCTGGATCAGGTATCATTTCTTGCTTTTCAATTCTCAGATTCTTGAGCTTCGGACTTGCAATAACAAGAGATCCAGACGGAGTACAGCAGTTTAACAAACTCAAATCCTCAAGCAATGGGCAGCTTTCAAGAAAATATTTTACCAAATCACCCTTTCTTCTATAAATATCGCTCAATACAACATCGTTCAACTCAAGAACCCTAAGTGCAGGGAACCCTGGAATCTTAGGCAAACATAGACGACGATATCCGAGCAAACATAATCTTAACACTTCCAACGAACTACAAGTCACCATACAATGGGGTATCTCAAGATCCTCAGGCTCATCTATTGGGCTGAACATCAAGTCAAGTAGTTTGACTTTTCTCACAACAGCCGCATGAATCCATCGCCTTATGGTTGACATATCGTAGTAATCCGCACAACATAAACGAAAACTATCCAAATCAAGAGTTTTGTTTAGTAAAACCCAATACACAAACTCTTTGAATCCGTTACTTTCCAATTCTTTATCTGGATCCAATCCTCGGGTATAATCTATGTCTATAGATGGAATTGAAGTCCACAAATGCCTCCATCTTCTTGACAAAATGCTTGTTCGAATTACTTCTTCAGTACTTGGAATACCTGAAAGAATCAGCTGAAGAACATGATCTGGCAAGTTACGGATCAAATCAACCCCATCTTCTCCTTCTGATGCATTTGTTTGCTTGGATTTATCCATGGGTCTGTTACTGTGATGTGAATAAAAGATCATTCAGTAAGACATTTTATCAAACAGTTTGTGAATAATTTTTTTTAGATATAAGTTGGACTTTAATCACCATAAGTTAAGCTTGACTCTCACAGGACGCAATATTAAATACTTTCAATCAATATGAGTTTCATGAGAAGGTTAGAAGCTTCAAAACTTCAAACAATACACACAAATAAAACAACTGAAAACTAAGTCCTACATTAGTCGATAACCTCGGGTCTTCAAAAACTTCAGACATTAATCATCAACCAAACAAATCAAATTCATATGATAAAACTGAAATTTAACATATTTGCAAGAAGATATAAAGAATATATAAACCCCAGATGATAGCAAACCACATTCAAAAAAAAAAACCTGATATTTGAGAAAAATACCTGATCAGATAGGTGCAGAGCCTTATGGTTTAAGAAGTAACTGGAGGCCATGAAAGATTTCCTTCTTTTCCCAGCCAATTTGAGTCTGCATCTGCACCCTAATCCCCTTGCTCTCTATGCGATTATTTCGCTTCTCAGCTGATTCTCGACTTTCAGGAACATCTTCTGGGCCTCAGATTAAGCCCGAGGCTGTTCTGGGCTGGGCCTGGCAGTAAATCACATTTTTGTTCTTGTGGTTTTCTTCTACTTATGGATCAGTCCAGTTTTTCCTATTCCATTAGGACAATTTTTAGAGTATCGTTTGACAAGTGTTTGTTAAAAAGGAAAGGGAGCATTTATGATGTTATTTTTTTAAATTATAACGATCTCTTTTATCTCAATAGGATTTTTGCATGTATAATCAACTTCTGAAAATATCATAAGTATACAACATATTAGATAAAAGAGTAAAGTATGTAATTAATTTTTGTGGTTTTTGATCCGGTCCAGTTTTTCGTATCCATAGACTATTCAAGATCATCTTACATGAACAACTTCGTATACATTTTGATCCGCTCCATCTTTTCCTATTCATTTGGAATCGGTCCAGTTTTTCGCTACTTTTCTAACATGTAACTTTATAAATTTAAGTTGCATGGAAAATTGTGGCAGGGAAATAACAATATATTTTGCATTTATAACTGTATGGGCGATACCATATGTTTCGATTTTTGCCTTAGTTACAATTTATAGTGATTATATCAAATTTATTTTGAAAATCCAGTAACCCTTCAATTTTGTTGCTTATCAGGCATCCAATTAACACCAACAAGGTAATTCAAATACCAAATCCACATGGAAACGTTAAAAAAAAAGTCGTAAGAAATCCAAACCAAAATACTTATAGTTCTAACACCCATTAGTAAAATCTAGCAAACTATTGTTTTGATAATTAAAAGCCTTAGTTTATGTTTGATAATCTAATCATTGGATATGTAAGAACAAATTTTAAAAATCATTAAAAAAATTATAAAAAAACACATTGGCATGTTTGTATGTGGCATGTGATGTGGTGAGTGACACAACAACAATGGATGTCACGTCAGATTTTCATAAGTTTCATGTCACATATTGGTATAAACAACTAGAGAAGTTTTGTCCTTATTGTGTCCGATGTGTTCTACATCGGTTGACATTTTGGATCAAATTTTTGTTTCCTACGAGCTATCGATTAGCATTTGGAGAAAGGTCTTATGTTGGCTTGATATAGTGGTTTCAAGATGGAAGGCTATTAATGACATCATCTTGTGGTTGGATTCGGTTTTTAGTGGAGTGTAGAAAAAAGGCGATGGTTGAAGCTATTATTTATGTAGTTTGGACTGTTTGGTGTATTTGGCGATTCCAAAATGATCTTTTGTTTGGCGATAACTAGAGATTACTCAAAGAGAGAGATTTTTTAAAATGTTGTTGATTTTTCATTTAATTGGTTTGTTTTTAGAAACTCTATTGATTGACTTAATAACCTTTATCTAGTCGTGTCTTTGTGATTTTGTTATTTTTTGCTAGTTTTTGATATAATTCACTTGTTCAAAAAAAAAAAAAAAACGGTGGTAGTTTGTGTAGTTATGATACCACTGAGGAAATGTTTTTTGGATTTGATAATAGTTTGCATGGCTGTAAGCCTGAAAGTCTACTATGGATAGTTAATTGTAGAATAACACTTGATTAATTGTAACCTTGATTATTAAGGAATTTGCGTAATAACACTGAATTTGAGTGTATACTAAATTGTTGAAAGGCATTGTGCAAATTGTACTGATTAGCTTAATGATATATTAAGTTGTGTAACTAATTTATATTTTTAGTCATGGTTACTCACTTGTAGCTTATCATTTTGTTGTTGTGCCTTTTAGGTTTCAAGTAGACTTAGTAGAAAGATGCAAAGTTGGTAGCGCCAGGCTTTGAAGTTAGTAGAAAGATCCAATTTTTCCAAAAGGTCACTCTTGAACATATTGTTGGGTATAATCATGATGTTGGAAAATTGAAATAAAAAAAATATGGTTTTACATTTTATGCTTTAGTTATTAGTTTGTTATCTAGACATGGTCCACTATAGTTTGACCGAATTTTGTGGGGTTGGAACTTGGAAGAATGGGTCTTTGGTTGTACCACTTCTATAGGTAGAGACGTAGAATAGATAATGTAGCTATTTTCATGCAACATGGGGGTGTCTAGAAGACTACATAGTCTTTCCTCTAGTATGAATAAAGTAGAGTTGTTTGTCATTATTTTTCACACAATGCATATTTAATATGCAGATCAACTTTTGTTTCTTCTTTCTATCATTAAAATCGAGTAAACAAGCTGTCATTTTGGTTCTGCTTTTACAATACATATCCTAATGTATTATTTTATTTTCGTTGGGCAGCACAATCAAATCAAGCTGATTTTTTTTCAGCTGTAGTCTAAGAAGCAACATCATGTTAGATTATACAAAATTCAAGGGGTGTGTATGGGGCGGTTTGGTTCGGTTATTGGTCAAAACCGAACCATAACCATTATGATTGGTTAATACATTTTGGTAACCATTGGGTATGGTTAAATATTGGTTATGGTTAATGGTTTTTGTCGGTTAACGGTTTTGGTTAATGGTTAATATTGGTTAACCATAATGTTCAAAATAATATAAATAGCGAAAGTATATTGACATAAAAAATGAAAACGGAATACAAAAAAGTCCTCGACGCCAATGTTTGTACCCTAACTTATAGTAATAAAAAACATGTGTACATTTGATACTGAGAGTGAGATAACACATAATCACATTTAAAATAAAAAATATTAAATAAAAATATAAAACTTTCAAAAAATTGACATTAATAATTTCATATATTGATAATTAATATTAACATTCAAATAAAGCCATACATTCATACACGTTCAATTCGATTAAATCAAAAACTATAAAATAAAATAGCCAAACATTAATATTATGTGTTATCTGGATAAAAAAAAAAATTTCAATCACTCATATACATTCAATGTCATTAAGTCAAAAAATCATTCGAATAGTTCTATAAAATCAAAATGATCTTTGATTAGGATTAACGGTGTAAGAATCATCAATTTAGGATTATGAGTGTGAAGATTAAACTAATTGTGAATAATGTTTACAAACTGTAGAACTAGCCGATTAAGAATTACAACATTAATGAATAATCTAAATATTGGCATGATTGGAAGATTGTGTGTGTCTGCGTGATCAACCTTTGATGGTTTGATTTTCCGTTTGTCTCCTGATAAGTGAGGATTAATGAATTATATTTTGGAATTTTAATGGGTTTTAAATAAGTTTTAATATATTATTTTATAATTTATATATAATCTATAATTTTTTATATTAGAATATAAAGTTAACGGTTCGGTTAATAATGGTTCGGTTAACCTATAGAACCATAACCAAACCGTTAGTTATCGGTTAACAAAAATTAAAAACCGAACCAACGGTTTTTAAAATGGTTCGGTTATTATGGTTCAATTATATCGGTTAATTTGGTTTTGGTTCAGGTTCAGGTTCGGTTTTTCGGTTATTATGCTCACCCCTACAAAATTCCAAATCTAACAACAAGAAGCATCCGCCACAATTCACATAAGACCAAAAGATCTGGTTTACCCCATAACATGAATTGGTAGTTACTACGTACAGTTTACAAAAAGCATTTAACGTCAGTTCATCAAAAGAGTAACAAGCTCGATCTCAACTCAAATAAAAGACTCAGAGCTTGAATCGAGGGTGAGCTGGCTGAAGTACAGTTGTAAGTTTGACAGTTGAAGAAGCCTTGTGAAAATTTGACATTTCCTTCATAGCCTCCATCGACTTCTCATGGTGCTTGGCGTCCTGTTGCCACAAGAAAACCATTTCCTCCAATGCATCTCCATGCTCCATTATGGCACGAGCTATAGCCAGTTTCCGATCATCTCCATCGAAACCAAGAAACTCAACCAATTTCAAATGACGAGTCAAGATTCTCATTGATGCAATATCATCTAGTTTCCAGTCTTCCAACTGATCTACCTAAAAATACATGGTTCAAATTTTGTTATATACATAAATAAAAAAAGAACACCATTTGATATGAGAAACGAGAATACCTGTGTAATGAACAAACGGAGAGTCTCCAGATGTGGAAAACATATGAGAAATGGGATGAGATCATTCATTGCAAATGCACCAGTTGTTATCTCCAAAGTCTTGAGATTGGGTAGAGATACAGGGACATCATTTGGCGGAAAATAGCACTACCACAACAGTGTACAGGTTATTATTTAAGAATTGTTCATACATACAATACAAAGAGAATAAGAACCTACCATTGAGACACAGTAAAGAGTGATGCACAATAATTCCACATGACTTATTCCAACAAACCCATCGACAAGGGGCCTTTCATCTTCAGTCAGTTCTTCAGGGTGAATAAAAACTTCCTTCAAGGAGGGCATACTTGTTTCAAAGATAAATTCACCAGCTACATAACCTGATAGCATCAAAGACACCAACTTTGGGCAAGAAATTTTTAGCGTATCAAACATGCCCTTATTCTTCTTGAACACTTCATAACTAACCCCCGCCTTGTTGACAATTGTAAGACTCTTGAGGTTCGGACATGAAATACGAAGAGTATAAAGTTCGTGTATAAAACAGTCTATCAACCACAACTCCTCAAGCAATGGGCAGCTTTCGAAAAAATATTTAACTGAAAAATCATCGAACAAATCAACCTTTTTCAACACAAGAACCTTAAGTGCTGAAAACCCTGTAGTAATATTAGGCACACTTAGATGACATCCGGACAAAGACAACCTTAATTCCTCCAATGAACTGCAAGTTACCAGACAATGGGGCACCTTGACAACCTCAGATTTACTCCGAGGGCTTAACACCAAGTCAAGTTTTTTCACGTTTTTCATAACAGCAATGTGAATCCATTGCCCAAGTGTCGATTTATTGTAGTAGAATACATAACTTAGACGAAAACTATCCAAATCCACGGATTTGTTTGCCAAAACCCAAAACACAAACTCTCTAAATTTGGTTTTATCGAATCTTTGTAAAAGATTCATCCCTCGGAAATCATCTATGTCTACACAGGGAATTGGAATCCACAAATGCCTCCATCGTGTCGACAAGATGCTTGTTCGAACAACTTCTTCTGTACCTTGAAGACGTGAAAGAATCAACTGAAGAACATGATCCGGCATTTTACTGATCATATCAACTCCATCTTCGCTTTCGGATGCCTCTGCTTGCTTTGATTTCTTCATATTACTCTGTTACTTTATTGATGCCAATAAAAAATCATTACAAATATTCAAATCATACTGACATTTTATCAAACACTTTGTGAACAGCAAGATGGTAATACAACTGAAAACGCGTAGGTTTCTCGCCAAGATTGATCTCTATGGTTTTTCATGGGTGACATTTTCTATCTAACTCCCTTTATTCTATTAAGGGTTAATGTAATAATATGGCAACTAATTACTTCAAATTTACAGTAATGTCATTGCATTTCTAGTAGTACATCCTAAAGCATTAATGTTTCTAACTGTTTCTATATTATTTCATATGAAAGCTTTGTGTTACACCTTAAAAATGCAGGATTTTGATGCTTTTATATAGTTTGCTAATTTTGTATTAAATAAAAAAAAATAAAGTAGAAATTAAAAACTAAAAGCCAAAGGAGAAACAAAAAAACTAAACTGGACTTTAATCTCCATAAGTTAAGCTTGACTCTAACAGGTAGCATTAGTAAATACTTTCAATCAATATGAATTCCATTGGAATTTGGAAGTTTAGAAGCTTCAAACATTAAAATTAAAACTAGAAATCAAGTCCCGTAGATAACCATTAACCTTCCAATCTTCGATTACTAAGCATATAAACCGTATATAATCATCGACCAAACAAACCAAGTTCCAATAATAAAACTGAGATTAAGATATTTGAGAAAAAACACAAGAAGATGCAAACAACATATAAACCCTAGATAATAGCAAACCATACTCAAATAGTAAAACGGAAATATAATTGAGAACAATACCTGATTAAATAGATGCAGAACCTTGTAGTTTAAGAACTAATGCCTGGGCGATTGTGAACGATACCCTTTGTTTCCCGCCCAATCTGAGGCTGCGTCTATGTAATCATCCCTTGCTCCCTGCTCCTAATGTCCTAATCGACCACGATTGGGCCTTGGCGGTTGTCCGCATAACTGTCTCTGGGCTGGGTTATACTGTATAAAGTTATAGTAATCTCTTTTATCACAAGAGGATGTGTGTCCTACACAATCAAACTTCTAAAAATATCATAAATATACAAATAAAAATACAAGATATTGGATAAAAGAGTAAATTATGTAATTCATTTTTGTGATTTTTCCATACTTATGGAACGGTCCGGCTTTTGTATCTAATCGAATCTGGTCCAGTTTTTCTCGAATTTTTGTGGTTTTTCCTACTTATTTTCTGAACATATAACTTTGTACAAAACTACAGATTAAGTTATATGGAAAATTGTGGCAGGGAAATAACAATATATTTTGCATTCATAACAATATGTGCAATAGGCTTCAATTTTTACCATAATAGCAACATAGTTGCAAATTATAGGATTTATAGCAAATTTATTCCAAAAACCACTAAACCAGTAACCCATTACAAGTGTTTTTTTTTTTCAATTCTATTACTTATTTGGCATCCAATCACTGCCTAAGAGGCAATTCAAATATCAAATTCGCATAGAAGCATAAAAAAACAACAACAAAACAAAACCAAAATAGAAGTCAGAAAGAAATCCAAACCAAAATCTTTAAATTTCTAACGACCATTAGTAACTAAAATCTATCGAACTACGGATTTGATAATCAAAAACCTTAGTTTATGCTTGATAGTCAGATCATTTGATATGTAAGAATAAAACTTAGAATCATTAAAAAAATCCACATTGGCATGTTTGTATGTGACATGTGATATTGTCATGACAACGGATGCCACATCATATTATCATAGGTTTCATATCGCAGATTGCTATAAACGGTTGAGAAATGTATATATTATAACCTATATGTAAAAGGTAAAGTACATTGCCTATATTGGTTGGAAGAGTAAACTATGTGCTATTTCATGCAATTTGCCCATAACTTACATATAGATCTAGAAAAGGATGAAACTTGAAACTACACACAAATGAAACGATTCATGTCATATAATAATAAATATTATAAGCATCGCCCCACAAGACTAGTTTGTATTAGACAAGCAATCAACCCACCAGCACCCTTACAAATTAATGTTTCTTCTTTGCTTCCTTATACAACAGTTTTACACAGAAATAATATTGAATCAAACAGTTGGGGCATTTGCCATATACTAGTAAATAGTAAAAATCCATTTTTTGTAGCTAAAAGTGTTGTCAAATCAAACAGACTTAAACTGCTATCGGCTGAGAAGGCTGTAGGAGGGTATATCTTCCAGCCTTGTTACGTCTTCTTGCAGAAGCTCTCTTTCAAGCTGACGACGTGTTGACTTCATCACCGCCTGCAACACAAATCATATACGCCTCACTTCCCATTTATCTCTGTATTATTATTATTATTATAGCATCCTACTTTCATTTTACACAATCATAGCATTCTACTTTTAATTATTTTTCGTATCAATATAACACTGAAAATTGCTTTGTATTTGGATGAAATTTCTATAACTGGATAAAAAATTTCAATGTACAATACTATAATAGGAAGAAATGAAAGTAGGATTTTATGATAAACAAATCAATGCTTTTTTTTTTTTTTTTTTTTTTTTTGCATCTAACACCTTCTAGAAAATGTGGTCATGACCAAATCTATGGCAATCATCACAGATTTCTCAACATTTCTATTTTTTTTTTTTTTTTTACCATTTTCATATTAATGGTGTTTGATGACTTGATCTCTCTACAGAATGAAAAAAAAGAGTAACTTAATTTGTTGTCATAGACTTTCTCATTTTGTCAGTTGTTTTTCTAAAATACGAGAAAAAAAAAATCACATACATTGAAATCCATGTAAGATGCATGCATAGCAAGCCACTGGTGATCCATTAGCTTGAACGTTATGCAATAAAGAAGGTCAAATGCCAATTCGTTTTCTGTTTGGAAAATAGAGAAAATAAAACCAAAAAATTAAATTATTAGCTCCAAAATTAGTTTTATATAATAGAACAAATAAATACTTGTACCTGAAAGAAACTTCAAGAAGGTTGCTCCCACAAAACTTCGTGGTTTAACTGCAAAGTAGAAAAACTCTATTAGGCCCTGTTTCTTTTTTTCCCCATTAAGTGAATGAGGGCAAATCTGTAAAAATTTAGGACTCAAATGGGAAGGTTTCCTTTCCATAATTTTCTGTATCAAGTCAAAAAAGAAACACTAATATAAAGCTTACAGCCTAACAGGATTAAGTCAAAAAAGAACAACATCTTAGTCTGCAACGCATTAAACTCCTAAATTAATTATTATTTAAAATATCCTGGAAAACCTGCTTCAAGATCCAACATCTGAATAAGCATGAATGTAATGTTGACACCAGCTACAGCAAAAGGATATTCCCACATGGAACGGACGCCTTCTCGCTTTCTAAGAAGATCTTGAAATGATTTCTGCAAAAAAATGTAACCAGTGAATAACCTCCTTCTGGAGAAATAACGAAAATGAAAAGAAAATACAATTACATGGATGCAAGTGTATCATGTTTGACAAAGAAAAGAAACTTATTCTGTTCCTTCCAGAAAACATACGAACCAAACGGACCCTTAGTTTTACATACATGAAGAACTTCTGAGTATGTGTGTATGTGTGTGTGTGTGAGAGAGAGAGAGAGAGAGAGAGAGAGAGAGTACCGGGAAATTTCTGGCAAAATACAATAAGTTTTCCAGTGATATAAACCCACCACCCCTATCACAAAATTCCAGGTCTTAAAAACTGCATAATTTTGAATGGAAGATCTCAAGGAACAACAATAAAATGTGATTTACCGAAAATCAGTGGAAGGATCTTTCCCTTGCCACCCCATCTCCTTCCACTGTTCAGAAATTAGATCATGGAGTTCCTCTTCAGGAAAGGCGGCTCCCCATAATGCCCTCAATGCTTGCTACAACATCAATAAAATTGCAAAAATGGGAGATTAATTTAAACCTACTTCTTGTATTGTAGCCATAAATCTTAGTTATGAAATCTATTTAGTATTTACAAACATCAAGAATATGTGTTTCTGCAAAAGGAGGAAGACATTTACCTGATGTCCCGGAATTGAACTATCATAGGCAACATCTAAACGGATTTGCAGCCTCTGTAAACAATCTTCCTGGCAATGGCGAAAAGAAATGAACAATCAGATTCTTATCATATCATACACTGTTTAAAAGGAAATGATGGAAGTGGTAAAGATTTTAATCACAAAATATTTATACTTTCTGCCTACAATCCTAGCAAAGTCATGCTTTATAACCATCTTCTTATAAATGAATAAGAAAAAAGCCCATCAAAGTTTTAGCATATAGATTCTTTGGACACACTGGCTAGCCATAACTGACAATAGGGAAAAGTAGAAAACTAGAAATAGATATGGATAGGATCTTAGATAGGATCACGTGGAAGGATGTTTTTCATGTCATCTGCTGGGGTGTTTGGTTCGCATAATGTTTTGAAAGGAAATGGAATTGGAATCTGGAGGATTTGGAATATGAATGAATTGAATTCCGTCACAATTTGTCTAGGTGGAAACGAGATGGAATTTGTGAGCTACAAAAGGGAAAGAAAAGGAACATGCGAGAGGCATTTACTTACTTGTAAATTCTAGGTTTTAAAAGGGCTTTTGAGTATTTTGAACATGAAAAAATGATGGGAATTGAATTCCATGGTTTAAGGATGGAAAGTTGAAATCCATGGGTGGAAGGATTTCGTGAATTCCAACGGAATCCAATTCTGTACTCATTAGCCACCAATTACGGGATTGGAATGGAATTGATTTCCAATTACGTCCAAATCCACAGAATTCTGCAAGCCAAACACACCTTTAGTATCCATTTTTCACTTTTAACCTTATCTGGATAGTTTTGGGTAAAGGGCTTGTTACAATGTTTTCTACATTAATCTACCAAGTCCCATACTTGGTTGTCTGACATGGCTAGATCTTGGCTTTCATGGCATTGAGCAATTTACCAGATCCAGGTGTACTACAGAAAATCACATGCATCAATCATCTTAACAGGTTTAAAACGGTACCTGGGCAGGGGTCAAATCAAATGATGGGCGAGAGTCACCTTCTCTTCCCTGAACACAAACACATGAGAGGCCTCTGCCAAGCCATGCTGCTGAGCCTGCTGCAACCTCAGCTGCACATAAAAAAGAAACAGGGCCAAAAGCAGAGTTCCTAAGTTCACCAAATTCATGACTATATGATGGTTTAAATAATTAAACTAAAACTTAAATTTGATGGGAGATGCACTCTAAATTGTCAAAAAGGGCATATCCCAAGGCCAATTTGATTTAATTTTTAACTGAACCAAACCAATATATCAAATGTTCATGATCGTGTATGCACAATCAAACAATTTGTTTTGCCGAGGCTTTTGTCTCTTTCAAAAAAAAAAAAAAATCAAACAATTTGAAATGAAATTGTTTATAATTGATATTTGATTAAGGTAATTATACTAACAAGCAAGCTGAACTCATCACATATATCAATGAAAGCAATCATCTAATATCTAATTGCGACAGATCGGAATTTTCACAATTACCTCTTTACAGAGAAACGTATAATATGGTGCTACGATCATAATGAAGTTAAACAATGAGTCATATACCTGAAGTTGTATTACAGGTGTTGCTTCTATCAAGTCCATGTGAAATCCTCCTAACTGCAACAAATGATCCACCGCCGCCTCCTCCTCTGTCCTCCATTGCCGGTAACAAAAACTCAAAGCGCGCACACTAATTCACCGTTAATTCCACCATTACCGACCACAAACACAAGCGCAGAACTTCTTCAACTTCACAGCAAACTGCGAAATTAAAAACGAATCCTAATCCGTTCACGACACCGAATTAAAATCCGCATCAAGAAATAAACCTCCGATCACCACTTTCGCGATCAAACTGATGAAAAAAACATATCAAGAAGCAATTCATTAAAAAAGTTTACCAGTAATTCTTGAAGGCAAATGCAGGAGTTCTCTAGGGTTTTACTGGATCTAAAGTTCTAATAGAAGAACACAAAAAATGAGCTTAAATCAATTTCTCTCTTTGATGATTATATTGTGTATATTCAAATATATATATACAAGAATATAGAAAGTATTGGTTG